AAGAAGAAATTTCGGACGGGGAGAGTGAGGATATTGAAGATGAGAGCGACGATGACGAGGACGAAATCGACGAAGAAGAAGGCGGCGATGCTGATGAGGACGTTGAAATGGGTGATGACTCTGAGCCAAAGGACGACAACGCCAACCCGGCTGCACACCACACTCAGCAGGAAGTCATGGTTCATTAGATTGAAGCATACGCCTTTTTGAGTTGATGACCTAGTATTTCCCTATAATCTCCATCTTTTGCATGATTTTATGATTAGTCGCAATGTTTTTACGATCCGCCTATATATTACCGATCATCAGAAAGCCACCATCTACTTTTTGGTCTAGTTTCATGAGAAAAGAACATGCATAAACTCGGACATGAACCCACATATTCGCTGTGTTTCCCAGGAGACTGACGCAAGGACAAATTTCACCGTAAGAAATGCCCGGAATACGTACGATTCCAGAGCATGAATGCCCATTTACGCTGTCCTCCGCAGCCAGGGCAGACAGGGGATGCTAGAGTGCAGCAGGTGCTCGATAGTCACCACAAATAGCCGGTGAATCAGTAGTCCATGAATGGTCTTCGGGATAAGAACCTTCTCTTCTCAATGTCCCGAAATATTCACATTTGAATTACACCTGGAGACAGTCCCCTACTTTTATCCATGAAAAGACAATACAATACGCCGATTGAATACAATTGAGAAACACGCCTCAATAAGGTCACAAAAATAGCAATTCTCCAGTCACCGCTGATTTCAAATCATGGGTCACGTTGAGTGGGGTTGAAGCTCGTCTACCTAATGCAACAACTCTGTGACCTGGTCACTTGTGGAGTGGAGTGTGTGTGTGCGATATGGTCGGTGAAGAAACTTTCCTTTAGGTTGGGGAGGGACCACTTGCTGCATTTTTGATAGGTGGACGGTTGTTTGGTACCTGGGCAGTTCGTCGTGCTAGCTCAGGCCTGCTGGTATGTAAAAGAAGTAGAAGAATGTGAGCCGAAAACATCTACCGGATTTGCATGGTATAACTATATATTATTACGGATGGTGCAAAGCACAAACACACAAAATCCATGCCCAGCGCCCAAACGCCCATCTACGCCAATAATATCTTGAATGAAGGAGGGGGGAAAAAGATTTCTGGCCTAGAATCCGAACTTTGACCCGATAGCTGCGAGGTGATTAGCAAAGCGATCTTAAAAAAAAAAAAAAAAAAAAAAACATTGAGCGTTGAGCTGGGAGATACTTACCACCTAGAACCGCTTTCTTCTTCTGGTTCTGGACGTATTTGTTGACGTCCCTGGCCCAGCCACTGCTCGTCTCCTCTAGCCTATCCATGTTATCGTTGGCGAATGAAATATTCTGGGTACGCTCCGTCATTTGGCGTTGCATGTAGGCGAAGTATCCTTCCTCGTCGGTGTTCTGGCGCGCCGGCCCTGTGGGCGTTCTTCCTTCTCTGGCGGCTTTTTGGCGTTCTTGCTCTTCTAGTCGCATTTGTTCTACCATTCGCTTTGATGGCGGGCGATCGGGTCCTCCGACTATAAGGAGAGTTAGTTTGTGAGCGATGAAGATGTTACGAAAGCGGAGAACAGTGGGGGAACGAACTAAGAATATCCATGTCAGCCGGTGAAATATACTGAGTACCAGAGATCCACTGTATATTAGATATTGTAGGTCGGGGAGGGGGTGCCAGCTGGGGGTTGTATAGTTGGTCTTCTGATCGGCGTCTGTTGGTTTGAGTTAGTGCCTTTGCGCTTCAGTTAATTTCACGGAGTCAACATACAATTCGACTCCAGCACCCCAAACGCTGAATATCCCTACTTCAGATGGACTGGTCCAAAATAAGACGCAGCCGTTTGGTGATACAGAAGACTGGGAGAGGCGAGATAGGTCGGCCATATGACTGATGTTGGTGCACCCCAGCTCCTTGAGACCAGGAATAGAGAATGCTCGAGCGTTTCCGTCTCCAAACAGTCCAACTAGACTGCATCCTCGACCGGGAATGTTCACAACGGATGCAGAATCACAAAGGTAATCATCCCAAGACCGGTGTGCGCCCTTGGATGTGGCGGGTTTGAAGACCCTGCACCCATTAGTGGTCACAGCGACCACCGCGCCATGGACCCTACGGCCGTTTCTTAAGCCGCCAAATGCGTCTCCTGTAGCCAGTGCTAAACTACCATCGTCGGCGTTGATAGGAATGATGCTGACGACTCTATCCTCCAACGCAACTGCGCCAGCGAATGAAGCCACGTAGGCACCACTGCTCGATGGTAGTACCTTGAATGTGGCCAAATTGCCTCTGTTTGTTCCCACAAAGCAACAAATGCTAGAATAGTCTAACAGGCCACAATTAGTATGGTGCCGGGCTGGCCTCTTTCGAAGTACGCTGCTTACCTTCACCGTCTAGAGTCATAATACCAAATTCAATACTTGTCGGCACCTCGGGAACAGTTTCGCTAGAACCACGAGATTTGAGGAAACTACTTCGCTTGTTCTGCTTGGCAAGCTCTGATAAATTCGCAGTGTGGATGATCGCTGGCCCACGCAAGTCGATAATTGCAATACTGCCAGCTTCAAATCCGGCAGCAACAAACCCTACCGGGCTATGCTTTAGCGCGGTCACTGGCCCTTGTTGCATGTTAAGGAGAGTCAATGGTAGAAGACCCTGCTTTAGACCAGGATCGACTCTATGCATGATGTTGGTCAACTTTCCTGGCCCATTGTTGGCCCCGGGAGGCTCCTCTAGACCAAAGTTTTTGTTACTGCCCATTCGGAATATAGCAACCTCGCCGCTCCTGAGACCAACTGATAGTTCGCCACTAGAGCCTCCAAGAGACATCTCTGTAACATCAATGTTGTTTATACGGCCCACAGCTCGAGCCAAATCAACCTGAATGGTTTCGGGGCTCTCAATTTCATCGTCATGGCCGATGTCCCATAGTCGCACAGTGCCATCTGCGTGCGCCGCCGTAACGATGTTGCGGCTCTCAAGGCGCTTTAGGTGTTTTCTTCCCTCCGCACCACCTAGGATGAATTTTGGCCCTTGGGATCGTCGCTCCTTCAGTCCAAGCCAGGCACTACGATCAACTGGAGTCAGAGTGATCTTGTTCACAAAAGGATGAACGAGATTCACCGATGGTGGTAGCATGTTGGTAGGTGGAATAGGATGTCCACTTGGGAAGCTCAGTGTAATCAATTCGCCCGATGACAAAAGAGCAAGAAGTGCTATTGGGTCGTGGGCGCCGCCATAGTACGGAGAACTGCGAGGAATCACACAGATGCTGGTCACCTCAGCACCCGGGGGAATTGGAAGCTCTGTTGTTGGACTCGGTCTCTCCAGGTAGGCTGTAATCATGGCCCAGGAGGACGTCTGGTAGTTGGGCGACGCGCCCAAGTCGAGGAAGGTAAGGTTTTTGTTCCTCTCATCCTTGGGTTTGCCGCCTGCGATCAAAAGTCCACTGTCATCGCCATTCGCTTTCACACACCAGGAAACATCCGTAATCGGATCCCTCATACCGGTAATCGATCCGGCTGTAGAAGGCCGTTCTGGAAGGGCACCCGGTTGGTCAACATTAGACGCAGATATAGACCTAGCTAATAACTTGCGACCATCCTTTGTATCCCAGAAAACCAAACTATTGTCATCATGAACTGTAAGCATGATTATGCCATTCGGATGCCATAAAGCTTTCGTCAGTTTCGGTTTACGTGGGCTGTTAACTGGGATGTCGCCGTTTCCACCCAAAGCGCCTGCCGGAACTTCATATTCGAAGTAATATTGTGGTACGTTCTGTTTGAACGAAAATGTCACCGCCCCGTCCGGGTATCCGATAAGAATCTTCCCAATATCACGGGGGGAGAAAGACAGGCTAACGACAGGAGAAAATCGCGCTCGCGGATTGCGCTGCGCCCATAAATTGGATATTCTAAACGGTGTCATGTTCTCGCGGTCAAGATCGTAGGCGACAATATCACCTTATAAAAATGATTAGAAAGCCACATCCTTTACTGAGCATAGGGCACCTTACCATTCTGCAAACCGATGAATGCATAGTCGATACTGGGATCGGTGAGTAGCGCACTGGCGTGACTTGGAGGAGCATATGAGACCAGGAGCTGCCTCGTTTCTAGGGAGAATATGCTGATTTCGCTTTTCGAGTCAACGCTGACGAGCTTACCGCCGCAGAATTGTATAAACTTCGCGGACGCTTTCCGGGGTAACGAGAAGATGACCGAAACTCGTCCTTGGCCAAAAACGTAGATCTGACCATGGCCGAACTGCGACTCGCTGGTACCGACTGCGAGAAGAGACTGGACCGGATCATACGCGAGAGCGCTTGTCTGTGAATTAATTCCACATCTCACGAGCTACACAATGGCCGTCAGTAGAGGTCCTCGTCGCGAGAAGCAAAAAAGCTGGTGCCTGCGCGGGCCGGCACATACATCATCAATATCGAACAGCTCCGGAGACAGACTGCCGGAGAAGTCATTTTGGATGCCGGCTTGCTTTCCCCTTAGGAAATGAGCCATTTCCTATAGTTGCGTACCGTAGGGCAATAGCTGGGAATGATATGAGAAGGGATGAAGAGGAGGGAGATCGAAAGATGGCCGGACTGGAGGTCTGTTTGAGCTGCGGAGCGGAACCCCACATGCTGAATGACGGTCGGCCAGCTTTATAGCGCCCCGCCCTTGGCTGCCAGATGACGAGCCTATACCCAAGTCTACAAATGTATGGGAGTGGTGACATAGTGTGCGCAGAACGAGGAAATATGCGTATACTTGTGCATTTTTAAATGCAGGTGCGGAGAAACATCGTTTTTGGTACAATTCTCATTAGCTGAATATATATACTAAAACCCGCAGAGCGCCACCATCTAGGAAGGCCACAGAATCTTTATCAGTGATATCCCCAAACGCCTATGCTATGTATAAACAAACTAAATGCAACAAACTTAACCGAAAACTATGCGGTAAGTGGCCTACTTTTCGTAGTCGCCCTGGTCATACCGTCGCCATTTTCGCCAAAGTCGTCATCAACTGTCTCCTTGCTTCGGCCTCCGCAGCTGTGTCTCGATTCTTTCGGTAGTATTGTAAGACAATGCGGTGTACACAGCGATAGCAAGAGTACCTGGATTGAAATTGAGAATTCATTAGCACATGAAGTCTCTAGGTCAGCCCACAGCATACGTACAGAAGCTGCCGAGCGCTCCCTGGTTGGGTTTTTGAATAACAAGATCCAAAGCCATCCACCACCTGAGGTGATGGATTCTCAAAGATTTTTGCCATGTAAGCATCTCCCCATACAGCTGTACCAAAGCCCGAAATCCCGCATAGTCGCTTGCTCTCCGGGTCCACTAGCACCTGTGACGGCTGACCAAAGTCGATTACTACCAGCCGTGGTATCAAAATCTCGTCCAGCGCCGGCGATATCCGACAAACTTGATGTCTGATTTCTCCATATGGAAGATTAATGAAGACATCTTCCGCGTCGTGAAGAACACCCTCGAAGAGTACGAGAAAGGCTTCCCTCCAGGACTTTCTCCCTGCCGCTTTAGCCACCTGTCCTAAGCTCCCAAATGAATCCGAGTTGTTTTGCGAGATTCGTTTCGCCAGAAGCCCTAGGCTTTTACCAATAGCTTTCCGCTCCTGGCTTGTAAGCTGAGAATCTATGTTGTCCAGGGTTGTGCCAGGGATATGATGACGAATCAAGAAGGATGGTCCGAGCAAGTCCCCTAGAGGATCGTAATGAAGTAGTTGTGGGATGTATGGCAGGGAATTTTTATTCAGGAGAGACAGAAGTCTTGCTTCAGTGTCAAGCAAAACATGCTCGCGCCGTGGAAGCGATGTTGTTGGTTTCGGTGAGCACTTTAACACCAGGTGAGCCTCATTCGATAGTCGGACTAGGTAGAGAGAATGTAGATGGCCTGCTAGCGAATAGACCCTGGCAACATGGATAGGGGGTAGGAAGTGTTGCTGGAGAACGGAGACGAGCTTCTCGGAGACCTCTTTTTCTATATGGGATGGGGCTGGTAGAAGAGAGGACATTATGCAATGACGAGGAGTTGTCTTCAGACCATGCAAGGAGGAAGTTGTCGTCAAATACTCCCATCCCATAGTCGAGACGAGCAGTGCTCACCAGGGGGCATAAGGCGGATCAGCGCATTGCAGCAGGGCTGCCAACATCTAAGAGCACGGCTAGGCAATCAGTCGAGTATAGATGGGACTCCTTGCTCTCGAACAACAGCAGATACGAACATCAGCGATGATTATAGGTCTTTGGCCAGTCTCCATCGTTTGTAAGCGAGCACGATTTTCCAGGCTCAAGGCAAATTACGCAAACTCGGCAGCCAATATCTAGAAGAAGGAAATGTACTCGAGATCTTCATGATTGCGAAAGACGGTGAAGTGAGTATTGGCCGATAGCAACGGGAGCCCCTTCAGAGCGGGACTGTCATCGATCTCTGAAAACTATGGAAAATTCGCCTAAGCATCCCGGTCTGAGAAAGGTGTGACATGAGGATTTGGATCGGTCCAATCAGAGGGGTCCCTTGCCGAGGGAGAAAACCGAGCGGCGCAGAGCGGTTCCTTTCTGCATCTAGTGTTCCATCGCTGGCTCCCGTATTCTGTGGAGTCTCGGCCCGCCATCTTCTTTTATTGTTATACTTCGCACGAGCCTATGGAAGGAGAAACCCAGCAGAATTTCTCTTGGGTTTCAACCAGAAGTGTCATCGATGATGAGCTGCAATCCTATCATCGTGCGTTAATGCCGATGATCCTCATGAAAAATTAATGCCTGACCCCATTTCAAATCTTGAGGCACGGGCCCTTGTCGCGTTTGGGATATTCCTCCGGTGCGCATAAAAGGCAAATTCGCTTTGGTACCATTTGGTGGTATTATGTGGATGGAAATTCTAGAAGCCGATGCCAGGCTAGGTAGAGCCTAGCGAGCTGTGATCGTACCTGGGCTGAGCACTTGAAGGTTCAGATAAAATTTGATTTCTAAGATTCTCGCGGCGCTGGATCTGGGCTGTAAAGCTCCGCAAGGTTGAAACGCTTTAGCTTGTCATAATCGCTCCCTGCAACACTCATACTGATGAGGTTCTGTGTACTAGTTAGCCGCGCTTGATGTTTTTTTTGGCTGAGTGGGGAGTTCTAGAAGTCTCACCTGAACTATATCAACCAGAATTATCAAATCATAATTCTTCAAATCAACCGGATGTTCGGGGCCCACAACATCCGCGATAGTTTTGATCATAACGTCCCTATTGAATTTCTTGTTGCTTCTTAATGAAGGTCGAATAGCGTACTTTGATTAGAGCGTTTGTTAGCAGCCCGACTTCGAGGTTGCCCGATAGATTGTAGGCGTAACAAACCTTCTTCGGTGGACCTCCAGAGTGAAAGTGAGGTTTGAGAATCTCTCGTGCAAATTCCTCCACGTCAACGCTGAGGGTCTTTCGAATGGAACGTGCAGGGATTAATCGTTGAATATAGCGGCTGCGCTTTTGATCCGGTTTGGATTGTGCATCGAGACAAATCTGATGCACGAGCTTTTCAGGATCAATTGATTTATCAAATCGTACGAATACGACTGGTTCAGTTAGTACTAGTGATGGTGTTAAGAGTGTCATCACGTACTACAAGGCAGGTCAAACTTGACCGTTTCAAATAATGATGACTTTGTCGTCGTATTTGGTTTCAGGCCCTCGATTTCCTTCTTTATTTGGGCTTCAATATCATCTTCATCGGAGTTAGATTCAGCTCCGTCCCCGCCATTTTCAGGGCCTTCCACGTGCTAAAATGACAGACATATTAGGACTCAAGGCTCGCCTATTTGGCGAGAAGGGATTTGCCTTCTCCAAATATTTTCATCTTCACTGTAGAATACTTACCTGGGTGAGGAGGTCCAAAATTTCCGCAGCACACTTGTTCTCTCTTCCAATTTCGCAGGTAACAAACACTCCCCAGTCACCAGTCTCAACACTTGATCGTGGAGTGTGAGCTAGAGCCCGGGCCTTTTGCCATTTGTTGCCCCCCTGTATGATACTTTAGAGACAATCCACAATAACGAACGGACAGCGAAAAAAATAGAAACAATGATAGTAACCGGCTAGAGTAGGCAAACCTTTCTTTTCTTGTGTGACTGATCAGAGGGGTTTTCCGGCATCTTTCTTTTTCCACTGTCGGCCATCCCAAGATACAAGGTATAAGGGCGCCTTTCACTTAGGGCTGTCCGATTTGCAGGAGGGGTATGTTCTCGTAGTCTTCCTCGCAAAAAGTGTGGTTCCCCAGAAATTCTTGACGATCATCGCAGTTGGTGGTGCGTGGTTGAATTATTCCCGTCCTGGTTTAGCGGGGCGGGACTGGGAGAAGCGTCAAACCAAGACCAAGATTCACCGGTCCTTCAATGCTTGACATGCTCTCGGGATTTCCAGGGCCTTAGCATGTGGTATTGCAAATCTATAGGTCTCAGACAGTCTGGCCAGATCATTGTCACGCCACGCTATACAAGTGGTGCAATATGCCATCAACAGTTTGTAAAAATGGGGAGACACTTAAAGCGGTCTGGATGCATGACATCACATTGTGTTCATGACGTATTACTCAGGCAAGAAGTTGAGCTCCAGTTGCGATAAGAACTGCCGCTGTGCAGTCACTGCTGGCCACAAATGACAAAATAACAAACAATTCTGTCACTGAACTGCACCATCCCTAGTCTTGATTCTGAAGGCCTCAACATGACCGACATCGCTACGAGGGAGCTCCGCCAGCCAGTTGATGTCGGCGAATACCTTTTTCGCCGGCTACATGAAGTCGGAGTTCGGTCGGTGCACGGCGTCCCTGGTAAAGCTACCTAATTGAGCCCGTAAACCCAGCCGCTTTGTTTTTGCTAACTGTGTTATAGGGGACTACAATCTCACGGCTCTCGATTACATATCAAAGTGTGGGCTTCACTGGGTTGGAAACTGCAATGAACTAAATGCGGGTATGATCGGTCAATTAAGCAGCAGCCGACAAGGCTGGACGTACTGACTTCTTGCCAATAGGGTACGCCGCGGATGGTTATGCTCGAGTAAATGGGATCGCGGCGCTGGTCACTACATTCGGTGTTGGTGAGCTCTCTGCTATCAATGCCATTGCAGGTGCCTACTCAGAATTTGTTCCCATCGTCCACATTGTCGGCCAGCCTCATACAAGGTCCCAGAAAGATGGAATGCTGCTGCACCACACTCTGGGTAACGGAGACTATAATGTATTCTCGGCGATGAACAAGGGGATATCTACCGCTACGGCGCGCCTAAATGATACGCACGATGCTGCTACCCTCATTGACAACGCCATTCGTGAATGTTGGGTTCGCAGCCGGCCTGTTTATGTCACGCTTCCCACGGACATGGTCACGAAGAAACTTGAAGGGGAAAGACTTAAGACCCCCATCGACCTTTCGCTTCCCGCCAACGACCCGGAGAAGGAAGATTACGTAGTTGACGTGGTGCTCAAGTATCTACATGCGGCAAAGAACCCGGTCATTCTGGTCGACGCCTGCGCCATTCGCCATAGGGCTCTCGAGGAAGTACACGACTTAATCGAAGCATCGGGGCTACCCACGTTTGTGGCACCTATGGGCAAGGGTGCCGTCAATGAAACGCATAAATGCTATGGTGGTGTTTACGCTGGGACCGGGTCTAACCCAGGCGTTCGTGAGCAAGTCGAATCTTCGGATCTCATTCTCAGCATTGGTGCCATAAAATCCGACTTTAACACAGGTGGATTCTCGTATCGCACTGGACAGTTGAACACCATCGACTTTCACAGCACCTTTGTACGAGTGAGATACTCGGAATATCCAGATATTAACATGAAAGGGGTTCTACGCAAAGTCATTAAGGGACTGGGCTCTGTCAAGGCCAACCCGGTGCGAAATATATCAAACACGCTTCCAGAGAGCGAAAAAAGTTCAAGCGAACAGAAAATCACCCATGCATGGTTATGGCCCATGGTGGGACAGTGGCTGCAAGAGAACGACATTGTGATTACTGAAACCGGAACTGCAAACTTCGGTATCTGGGACACTCGCTTCCCATCCGGGGTTACCGCCATCAGTCAGGTTCTTTGGGGCAGTATCGGCTACTCAGTTGGCGCGTGCCAAGGTGCTGCTTTGGCCGCGAAGGAACAAGGAAATCGCCGGACAGTGCTGTGGGTGGGTGATGGTAGCCTACAACTCACTTTGCAGGAGGTCAGCACCATGATAAGGAATAACCTTAACCCAATTATGTAAGTTCAGCGGACCCAGGTATATTTCCATGAAGCTAACGTGGAAAAAATAGTTTTGTCATCTGCAACGAAGGATACACCATCGAGCGGTTTATCCACGGTTGGGATGAAAGTTACAATGACATACAGACCTGGGACATCAAGGGCTTGCCGGTTGCATTTGGCGCGAAAGATAAATATAAGGGCTACAAAGTGACGACCAGGGACGAACTCAAGAAGTTATTCGCCGATAAACAGTTCAGCTCGGCTCCATTTTTGCAGGTGGGTTTCACGGCATCCCGATTCGATTATTGAAGTGCTAATTTAAGCAGTTGGTTGAGGTTCATATGCCTCGCGAAGATGCCCCTGCTTCGCTCCGGATAACAGCTGAAGCGGCGGCGGCTGGTAATAAATAGGAACAATAACCCAAGGCTTTGTGGATATAACCTTCGCCTCAATTATACTAGTGATTAGTCTAACCATCTAATGATAGCATTTCATTAGCGTGAAACCCAGGATATTGTGGGGTTAATGAAAACGGCAGAATGTCCTTCTCTCGGTTCTTTTGGCCTCGGTATGAAATGTAGAGGAGAGCTCGAGGGCAATTGGGTTGTGTACCAACAGTGGCTTTACTTCGCGTAGTAGTAGTAGACGCAATGGCAATCATATGTCAGCCTTTTTGAGTTTTGACGCACGATGTCGGGGAAGATCCCTCGGTGGAGAAAGAAGGAAGAGGTTGGTTGACCGTTTGGCCGTTGCCTTGTTGCTTATCGCGAAAGCCACGTGATCGAAAGAAGGCATGGCGCTAAGCCGCCAACACAACGACGAGGCTGTGATGAAACGTTGGGCTGGACCTCAACAGGCGTCTCGAGTTTCCCGAGCAGCCCTATCCTAATTCCTTGTGGGGTGGCTTATTGATAATTATCCAAGCGCCCGAAATCCGATGGGCTGTCATAGTTTTCTCCAGCGTTGGACGTTGTGTGGTAGGTACGTTTGTTGCCCTGTGTATGCGCAGTCCCCCTCTGCAACCCGGCTTCTTTCTTTCGGCGCTTACATCCTCGGATTCTGACTTGACTCAAGAAACCACTAGGCTTGATTGCCCATATCCTGGCTAAGGTTCCTGCCAACGATCCGATCTCGCCGACCGCAACTGAAGCGAAAGTCTTTGTCTCTCCAGCCTGCGACCTCGAGTCCGGGACTGAATCAGGCTCCATGAGCTGGCCCATTGCAATACTGCATCTTCATTAATTAAGCCACTCGCTTAGTTTATAAGGATTGTTCGGGCAAGGAGGAGTTTAACCTATACTTTCCTGCACTCGCATAGTTGTCTATTACGGAACGTTTTCTTCGATCGCAACCCCAACGATACTGGAGGAATCGCGAAAGGCTTTATAGGCAATGAGCACTTTCAGCGGGGCATATAAACCGGGCCTTTACCTTACTATCACCAGGACCCAGGAGAAAACTTGATAACGAACGGAACCTGGATTCATCGATTTTTCGTTTATCGCCAACCGTACATCTTCGGCATTGATGATACCTGATATTTTGCAATATGGACGGCCAGCGACAGCAGCCGTATATGCCAGGACCGCCCCTTTCGGCGTCCCAGCCATCTCAGGCTCATATTATGCCATTACCACCTCCGCCCCCTCGATACACTCCAGCACAGCCCCAGAATGTAGTGCCTCCGCCGCCGCCTGGACCTCCTCCCGGGGCGCCATACGGTCCTTCGAAGCTCACTAATCCCCAGCTTCAATCACAAAATAATATGGGATGGCCGAGTTGGTCTGGGCGTGGAGTACACCAATATCTTCCACCACCTCCGCCCCCCCCAATGACCCATGCGAACCAGTCGTCCTTTACTCGCCAACCTACCATGCAAAATCACAGCGCTACCTCCGCCACTTACGTCCCATCAGCTGGAACATTCGGTCCCGGCGTCGGGATTCCACCGTTCGATGTACCAACGTTCCCACCGTATGATCCTCCCGGTACTATGATTCCGGGCGACAGACCACGACCTCCGCTTAAACAATCATATGGACATGGCGTGCATAACATCCCTAACTATCCGGAAGGAACTATTCCATCTACCCCCTCGTCCCACAACCCTCCCTCACAAGACTCCCCTCAACCAAATCTTCAAACCACGAGCCAAGGGAATGAATTGGCCAAATCCTCTAGCCACCGACATAATAACAGTAATACTACTGTTGGTGGCATGTCAGCCAGTGAAGCGGCAGTGCAATGGCCATTGGATCGGGTGTTGATATGGCTTGCGAAGAATGGCTTTTCCAATGAGTGGCAAGAAACATTCAAGACTCTAGAACTCGAAGGAGCCGAGTTTCTGGAGTTGGGTCATGGGCAAAATGGTCGACCACCGAACCTCGGAAAATTGCACAATGTTGTTTATCCTCAACTCCAAAAAGAATGCGAAGCTAGTGGCATAATCTGGGACCTTGGCCGTGAAAGGGATCAAGGAGTGCGCTTGCGGAGATTGATTCGTCATATTCATGGCGATGAAGATGGACAAGGTAGTGCTCCGGATGAAGGTGCTGAGTTTTCGCCTAATTTCCCAAGTGCCACACAGGTGCCTGTCTCTCCGAGCATCCACTCAGCGACTATTTCCAATAGTCCGAACCTCAAAGCGTCGAGAAACCCTTATACCAAGCAGCGAAATTTCACGACTCCTGGTTCTATTAGTCAGGATAGTGCTTCAGCAGAAATTGCCATGACCGAGGGTAGCCCGATGATGCACAGGGCAGAGCTATCTCGCCTGAACAATGTCGGGTCCGATCATCAGAGGAAAAGTCCCTCCATGTCCAGTGATAACGGCTTATTCGCAATTCCACCTCAACGGCCCCACGAAAACAGCCCTAAAAGTGGAAGCCCGGCTACACAGCATGCTGCGCTATATTCATTAAATGCACCTTCCATGGGCGACGTAAGCTCGAAACATACGCGAGCCCCTAGTGGAGAGCGTCGGTACTATGAAACTTTTAAGCCCGATGGTTCACGCCCTTCGCCGCAGGAGTATTCCAATCGTCAGATAGGTGGCCACAATAATCCTTCTTATTCAAAGGATCATCGCATGGGGATCTTTAACTTTTGGAGGAAACCAAAATCCAATGACCCCAATAACCCATCCCCCGACGATGCGATCCCTGGTTCTCCCATCTACTCTAAATACCACAATAATAGCAGCGATGTGTCCGTAAATGAACGTCCTGTATCTGCGACTTTATCCGACTATGAGAAGTCGGCGATGCGATCAAAACTGGCACATAAAGGGAGAAGGTTTATATTCGCAACATCAGACGGTGTGAATTACCGACTGATTGAGACCACCGATATTGACTCTGTTGAGACGCTCCGCGCTTGTATTTGCCAAAATCTCGGAATCACGGACTGGCCTGATGCGCAGATATTCCTGACTGAACCTGGACAATCAGAACATGATGAACCTTTGAACGACTCCTTCTTAGTTTACAGCCAACGTACAAAATCGGATCCATTTGGCTCTTTGAAGTTGTTTGTGAAAGGCTCTCACCTTCGTCCTGGACTGAATGCCTCCTCTAACGGTCCGGGTCTTGGGGTTTCTATCCCGGAAAAACCTGCTGCATCACCAACGTCCGCCGTACCTCGGAAACCGCTGGACGGTGAAGCACTTAGCAGGATCTCACCACTTAAACCCTTCTCCCAGCAGCAGCAAAATGCATTGGTCGGTAAACTACCTCTCCGAGACAATCCACAATCGAACAATGGAGTTTCTCCAGTTGGGGAGGACACAGATGGGACACTTCAAGAAGATTATAAGCGGGAGCAGGAACGGAAGCAGAAGCACTACGGTACCCCGCCTGCGCCTCTGCCCTTGGCGAGGCCAGACGCTTATAATAGCGAGACTGGGTATCGTCGTAAGGGTGTCATCAACTTTGACAAGCCACGTGTATCACCCTACGAAGACAAGAAGTCTGATGGTCTCACACCGTTCCGGAAACCGCCTTCCGCACCGCAGGAGTCAAATACACTCAGCAAGGTAAATTCGCTGAGGAAGAGGGATAATGAACGCCCGCGCGCCCAGCGATCCAACCAACCACCTGGCATTAAAGAGATGATGAAAGATATGGGAATGATGACCGGTGCCGTCGGTAACCCTCTACCGTCGCCCAATTCGGTGAACTCTAGTACTCCAGGTAAGACACCATGCGATTTCTGCATGCAATTGTTTTATCCCATTCGTTGCTTTCTTCTTGTTGGGGTTAAGTTTAGCTTGCTAACGCACCTCGATAGATGGCCCCCATAGTGCCTCTGATTCAACAACTGATCAGGGTAACCAGGGGACGTCACCACTTACAAACGCTAGTTCCTCACCTACCAATACCCTGGCTTCCTCTGGATTATCCAGGTCAGTAAGTCAGAACAGGAAATCTGTCGGACCGGAATTCGACTTTGAAGAGACGGAAGTATCCTTCCAACGCTCGCCCGCCCAGGACGATGATTCCGATAATGATTCGGATGATGGTCTATTTGCGATTCCACTGGCAAACACTAAGACCCCTGTCAAAGACGAGGGAGTGGTACCTGGGCCTCCAGGCGATCATCAAAGACCACGAAAACCATCTCTTACCGTCAATACTGAAACCAAGTCTCGAGCAGGATTGTCCGTCAGTTTCAAATCCCCCAGTGCTACTCGCGAGACCTTCGCAAATACAAGTGGTGATCCAAGCAGCTCGGCCACGCCCTTCCATAATATGACTTCCTCTCCAGAGGAAGAAAAGGTGCCATTCAGAAGGGATTCGTTCGCACGAGACGATGTTTGGGCCAGCCGTCCACCCGTCGAAGGCGTCATCAATAACCTAGACGACTTCTTCCCTTATATTGATCTAGATGCGCCCTACCTTGATGGGCAGGGGACATCACCGCCTTCCTCTCCCGCAAACAGAGTTGCAGCCGACAACGAAATCAACCGTAGAGATAAACACGAAGGCGCCTATTACGGGACACAACCTCCTTCCAACCCGGCTGACACTGTGCTGGGTTCTGCTGAACCAACGATGAAACCACAGGATCATGGTTTTGTTGCGCGACGGAATATTAACCGATCTGGTGGTGGTGGTGGCGGCGGCGGCGGTGGCCTCACTCGAATGAAATCCATCCGAGAGGTTGCTAAAGGCGCTAATCAAACAACTAGACAACGAAGTGTTGCAGCTTCTAGCGGGAACAGAAGAACTGGAGATGTACACCGTCGCAAGAGCACCAAAATGTTCGGAGCCAAGATCATGCAGATCAGCCCGAAACCTGGCAGTCGACTCAGCCAGCTTGACCCGATTCCCCAGAATAGCGTGACGTCGAGTTCGAAACCACAGAGACAGCCTACTTTCCGCATCATTCGCGGTCAGCTCATTGGTAAAGGTACATATGGTAGAGTTTATCTAGGCATGAACGCCGACAATGGTGAAGTTTTGGCCGTCAAGCAAGTGGAGATCAACCCGAGAGTGGCAGGGCAAGATAAAGATCGGATAAAGGAGATGGTCTCTGCCTTGGACCAGGAGATTGATACGATGCAGCACCTTGAGCACCCTAACATCGTGCAGTATCTTGGATGTGAGCGCGGGGAGCTGTCGATTTCCATCTATCTTGAATATATTTCTGGTGGTTCCATCGGCAGTTGTCTCCGGAAGCACGGCAAATTTGAGGAGAGCGTGGTCAAGTCTCTTACACGCCAATGTTTGGAAGGGCTATCCTACCTTCACAATTCAGGAATCCTCCATCGCGATCTCAAGGCAGATAACATCCTCCTAGACCTCGACGGATCGTGTAAGATTTCCGACTTTGGAATATCCAAGAAGTCAAACAACATCTACGGAAACGATTCCTCGAATTCAATGCAAGGTTCAGTATTCTGGATGGCGCCCGAAGTCATCCAATCGCAGGGTCAAGGCTATAGTGCAAAGGTTGATATCTGGTCCCTCGGCTGCGTGGTGCTCGAGATGTTCGCTGGTCGCCGACCTTGGAGCAAGGAGGAAGCCATCGGCGCCATTTACAAACTTGGCAGCCTCAGTCAAGCGCCTCCAATCCCAGACGACGTGTCAATGAACGTTAGTCCGGCTGCGCTCGCTTTCATGTGGGACTGCTTCACGGTGTATGTGACAATCACCTATTTTCTTTTCTGAGTGAATCTTTAACTAATTCAATTTTCATTCAACAGAGATACATCCGAACGCCCGACAGCGCAAACTCTCCTCACCCACCCATTCTGCGAACCCGATCCAAAGTACAATTTCCTGGATACGGAGCTTTACGCGAAGATCCGTCATGTTCTTGCAAGCTAAGATGCTTATCGTCTTGAAGTGGAATTTTGAAGAGTAATACGTCATTTTTTCCTTGCTTATAGCAGGCCTCATACCCAAATTCGTTTGTTTTGTGAGCGATGATATGAGTAATTTTTATATAGGGAAAGCCTTAGCGCTTGCTTATTTTTTTTTTTTTTTTTTTTTCCCAAGGGTCGGCTTTTTCAGTTCTGTCCTCCTGTGGCGCTGGCGGTCCTGTACCTTTAGCTAGTGGAGTTTATAAAATCCGAGTCGCTTCCTGGAAACATACCTGCTTCTGTTGTTGTATACAAACAAGAAGTATATAAAATTCAAACATGGTACTAAGAATATATTTGACTCGAGAAGGATATCATTAACCTGCGTCATGTGCATGTTATGTACATGGGGGATTTGAAGCCCGTGCTATCTACATGTTCAAGAGAAAAAAGCCCTATCGAAACTGAGACCCCAAGCTTCCAGTTCTACTCACACTCCGGCTGGGAACTTGATCGTCATCCTGTGTTGCAACACCAACCCGGAAGATCCCCTCACACCAGTCTGCAAATGTCTCGACGTCCCATACAGCATCTTCACGTCCTTTACCCTTCTTGCTGACTGGAACACCCTTGTTCTTCTCAGAGGAGGTGTATTTAATGAAGAATTCTTCGTAGATTTGAATGACGCGATCCTGAACAGCACCAACAAGAGTTTCTTTCATACGGATATCGTCGAGGTAGTCGTCAAGAACTTTGCGGAGGCGGGGGACCTCGTTTTCAATATTGTTGCACGTCGGGTAGATAAGTTCGCCGCGTTGGAGGTTTCGTTTGTCAACGAACTTTGATGGGAGAGATGCGGTCATTTTACTAGCGAAGCTGTTGATAAAGTCGTTGATTACTGTTCTCAGCCGTCCGTCCAGTTCGACTTTAGCGTCCAGCATGTTTTCGACCACTCGAGGGAGGAGGCCGTGCCCGACGAGTCTCATTAGGTTGCGAGGGTTGAAGAGGCCGCCGCGCTCGCGGAGTTCCCAGAAGGTACTTGTGACACCGGAGAAATCGAAAGACACTTCGGGGGCGACATATTCGATATCGAAGGCGACGATTTGTTGTTTTAATATTAGCAAGTGGCTCATTAAGAATAGTGATCCGTCTATTGGAGATTTGCTAGATATTGATGTGCTAGCGTGATGGAGCGAGTCTGTCGTTTGATGGACGATTTGATGTGCAAGGTCATCAAAAACCGTGGACTAGAATGGCAACAAGGTTAGTATCCGTATGGACTGAGATGTTTGAGAACGCGGTTGTACATTTACAAGACGGTATATCCGGCTCAAAAGCCACACAGCCTTCCGGAGGGTCGGGTACCACGCATCAGGGGCGTTTTGAGACTCATAATCCCATTTCAGGTCTTGCTCGACTGGCGTGTCCGTACCATCTTCAGTTGACTTCGTTTGTTTTGGCGGGTTGAGGTATGCATCTGTATGTGAGACCTTTCTTCCTGATATCTGTTTCTCAGATACAGATATCGACAGCTGTTTGTTGCGAGAAGGATATTCGAGATCCTCCTGGCGCGGCTTGAATCGTTCAATCTCATCACGGAGGAAAGCCTGCGCACGGAAGACGAGGCGGGTCTGCACGTCCTCCAATGCTGGCTGAATTAGCGCTGAGAAATCAAGCTGATTCGCATCCGTATACTCTGCCTCTTCCTCTTGGTCAAATAGATACCGAGTCTGGAGCAGAGTACAAAGCTGGCACAGCTTGACAATTTTATCTTCGTGAATAATTCTCGGTCTCAAATGGTCATATAGGGGTTCACAAATGGTCTCTAGAAAATCATATAGACCACCATGACCATGAAACCATTCGCTCCACAAGTCGAATTCATCTAAGCAAACTCCTCGGACATAGCTAATACTTGCGCGAGCAAAGGCAACCAATTCGCTCGAACTGCTCGGAGCCTGTGCGATCTCACCTAGCCTCCGACGGACCAGTGGTATAATAAGCTTTCCGCGCGTAGCTGCATAGTTGGTATGAAGCTCATTAAGAAGACTTTGATATTCAGCTTCTGTGCCTTGATCAGGGTCTAACGGCGGGACGGCTCTCTTCTGGATCTCCAGGCCAATTTGCTTCAATTCAGGTGCGCCAACCCTAAACTTTGCATAGAGAAGAGCAGATAATGCAGTGTCGTTGAGCTGCTTGTCTGCGACCTTTTTCGAAACACTTGCATATACCTCGCGAAGGGAAGAGACGAAGTGGCCTCGGATGAGCGTTAGAGCGCGCGTTAGAAGAAGCCGGTATCTTGATCGGTAAACTTCGGCTTCCTTTTGCTCCGGCTGAAGGGAAAATTAGCAAAACGGTGATAGACCTTGGGAACAGCAATTCTCACGTGTGCCTCCATGTAGTCCAAGCATTCGTCCAGTTGCCTTAACATGTCTGAGAAGTCCTGCCCACGCACAGTATTTCCCGCGCCTGGCGCATTCAGCCTTCGAGAGGCAGGGTCTAGAAAATCGTAGAATTGAATGTTGTACTCAATGTCCGTCACCAAGCCCGTGTCGCGCTTCTGGGCTGCAAGGAGCCCCTCGCATTGTTTCTGGAAGTTGGACGTTTGCGCATCGACCGTTCTGAAATCTTCGGAGAGTCTCGACAGAACATTAAGTGTAGATGATGTGTCTGAAAGCAGCGTGTCTAGATGATATTTGGATGTCTGGAGTTCGTTAAGGCAAGCCCTAGAGACAGTAACAGGTTAGTGCTTGTGACCAAATGATGTTGGGGGGGGGGGGGAGATGCCCACTGATACTCATCATAACTCGATTCGAGCAAACTAGATTCAACATCATTGTACCACTGAGCAAACTCAAGTTCATTATGGATCTCAGCAGACTCGTTTAGCTCGTCTGGGGTAGTCTCGAGCTTCTCAATCTGGTTCGCCTTGAGGTCCAGAGGCATGCCCGATGGGGCGGTTTGCCGGCGACTTCGCTGTCCTGCAGTTTGCGTAGGCATTGTGTCCGAGCGGTGGTCAAGCGTCCTTATGAAGTGTGGCTCATGATTCTCCCACCGGTCCCCGACGTAAATTCATGTCGATCGCAGCGATTGATAGATAGTCGGTTATCTGTTGTCCTCCGCGTGGCCGCTTTCGAGACCGCCATTCTGCCGCTGCCTTCCGCCTTCCGTACTGACGCAAAGCTTCGCGAGCTTAATGTTTGCCATGATCTCATCTCCGAACAGCTCTCTGGATATGTGCTTTTGATGTGCAGCTGAAGACATCATGTGGGTTAATCGAATGCGACAGCCTGCGGTAAACGCGACCGCCTTTTCGCGTCAACTCAGAGGGGTCAGGTCAACGGTCGCGCTCGGACGACGACACTATGCAAGCAATCAGCGAGAAACTGCAGAGGGTCGTCCCCAGCCCTCAAATTGGTTCAGGAACTCTCTCGCATTCGCCGCGACAGGAGCGGCAGCCTTCATCATCTACTCATATGCTACCAGTACAGGCGAGAGCGAATTCCTGAAAAGCCTCCCAGACTCATCCAGGTCGATTGAAGATCTCTCCGCCCAATACATACAAAGGAAACGCAGCTTGAAGAGTCCCGGCTTATATATATGGGGTACGAACGAGTACAAGGTGGTGGATCCAGATGCCAAAGAGTCTGTTGTCAAACATCCCCGGAGGCTGTCTTATTTCGACAACCACGTATTGAGAGACCTGAAGCTTGGGGAAACGTCTGGGGCTGCTATCATCGAGAACGGTGATCTAGTACAATGGGGTAAAGGGTATTCCGAGACTGATTTCAAACCCACAAAAACGCTAGCTGGGAAAAATCTAATCTCATTGTCTATGTCCCATGATCGTATTGCCGCTCTATCTTCTGATGGCAAGGTCTACTCTCTGCCGATCTCAAGCCACGACCAGTCATCCGGCCGAAAGACTGACGAGAAATCATGGGTACCTTTCTGGACTGGCAAGGCGAGCCTGAGCTACCGCCTTATTCAACCAAGCTTGAAGCTGGGAGAGAAAATAACCTCCATCAGCGGTGGTCAGGAACATGTCCTTCTCCTGACGAGCTCCGGGCGAGTATTTTCTGCTGCTGCATCAACTGAGAATTTCCCATCCTTCGGACAACTAGGAATCGCGGGCCTGACCTGGGCGACTAGGCCACAAGGACCAGTGGATGCTCCTCATGAGGTTAAGACTCCGAACGGGGTAAAGGTCACACAAATTGCGACTGGTGACTACCATTCGTTGCTGCTTACCAAGGAAGGTGACATTTTGGCGTTTGGCGACAATTCCTTGGGGCAACTCGGAATAAGGTTTGACGCAGCAAAGCCTTTCCGCGACACCCCTACGCAGGTGCCTATTAGAGACCTTTACCGCGAGGGTGGCCACCTCCCCCAAGCAACTGGCATTGCGGCTGGCGGTGCGAACAGTTTCTTCCTTGTGGATGTCCGACAGACCGGTCCAACTCAAGACCTCAAGGGCGCAGGAAAAGTTACATGTGACATTTGGACCTGCGGCCGGGGAATCTGGGGTGCGCTTGGGAATGGCAAGTGGACTCACTTGCAGGACCGTCCCATCAGATTGAAGGCACTTAGTGGATTAGTTGAGTACGACGAGGCGACAAAGGGATTATTGCCTATCCGTTTGAACGATATCTCTATTGGCACGACCCATGTATCCGCCATTCTAGGTAACCTGACACATTTGAATCGCGCCTCTACGTCCACCCTGGAGGGCCCTGACGACGCGGGTCTAGATGTGGTCTGGTGGGGAGGAAACGAGCACTTTCAGCTTGGAACCGGCAAGAGAAGCAACTTATCCAAACCAGCCCATATCAACGCACCTCCAGAGACTACGCCGGATGGTGATAAGGAAGTCGCCAGGCTCCAAATCTTACCTCGCCATCGTGGAACGGTGGCCGGCCGCAACGTTAACATGCGACAACGGGTTGAGTGTGGGCGACATATCTCCGCGATCTATTCCGGGCTCTGAGAGTAAAAGTCTTTAATCTTCTGCTTCATGATGTATGATAATTTGGATAATTTGTATAACTAATTTCACTCTTAACCATCGAAATGTTTATTTAACTACCTTGTAATTGGCAATGCAAACGAGGCAAACATCCAAGTTCCGCGGAGGACGCTCGGACCAACGCTTATCGTAAAAAAAAATTCCAGCGCAAAAGCAGCGAAACATTTCCAAAGCTCTCACCACTTACCAATCCCCACAGCCAGCCATCATGCCTCGCGAAAACCAAAAGCGCGGTCGCAGAGCGACGGATAAGGCGAAAAAGGAGGAAACCAAGCGAAAGCGCGACGACGCGCCTGAAGATTCGACAACGAAGCGATTAAAGCCTTCAGCGGACGAAGCCATCACCGCCGGCGCAGACTACATACCTCTCGACATCGAAGAAGGAAACCAAACCGAGGCACCTGCGCATGATGACATGCCATTCTATGGTCTTCTCGATCCCGAGGAGCAGGAATACTTCAGCAGAGCGAATGAGATGTTGGAATTGAATCAGTTCCAAGATGCCGAGGAGCGAAGGCTGTTTGTGGACAGTGTGTTCCGGGAAGCGAGGGGGAAAGAATTGAAAATTGCCTGCAGTCAGTCGTGCTCGAGGCTTATGGAGAAGCTGATATCGGTGTCGGATATTTCTCAGATCCGGAGGTTGTTCAACAAATTTATCGGTCACTTCTTGACGCTCGTGCAGCATCGATTCGCGAGTCACTGCTGCGAAAGGTTGTTCATCAGTGCTGCTCCCGGGGTGTCACAAAAAATCTCGAAATCGAAGCCCAGAAAAGATGATAACGACGAAGACGAAGATGACGATCCCGAGCCGGAGCTGTCGCTAGCGGAGATGTTTATGCAAGTTGTTGAGGAGTTGCAAGGGAACTGGGGATACTTGTTGACGGAACGGTTCGCATCGCATACGATCAGAGTCCTGCTCCTCGTGCTTGCCGGAGAGCCGGTCGATGTGTCTTCGAACGATTCGGTTGTGGCCAGTCGAAAGAAGGAAAGACTGGGAGTTGTCGGCGGGGAATCTCAAGAAGTCACTGTGACGGAGAAAACGAGTGTTCCGGAGTCGTTTGAGACAACGTTGAAAAAGGTCATGCAGGACATGGTCTCGGTACTTGACGACACCTATTTACGGGCGCTTGCAACCCATCCTGTTGGCAATCCAGTTCTGCAGGTGCTGGTCAAACTGGAGCTCTCTCACTTCGGAAAATCGAGTGCCAAACAATCCAATTCAATCATAAAACGGCTGATTCCAGATGAGAACTTCGAAGAGGACTCTGAGAGTGCAAGATTCATTCGAGGTCTACTTTACGACCCTGTGGGTTCACGCCTCCTCGAGACGATGGTACGGTGGATGCCAGGGAAAATGTTCAAGTCGCTCTACAAGAACTACCTCCGCGAACAGATGAGCTCGCTTGCGCGTAACCAAACCGCCGGCTACGTCGTACTCCGAGTTCTCGAACGACTAGGAAAGGATGATTTACAAGCTGTTGTAGAGCAGATCGCGCCCAAGATCCCTGGCCTCATTGAACGATCGCGGACGATCGTACCCAAGGTGCTGATTGAAAGGTGTCTAGCCCGAGGAGTTGACACCAAACCACTCGCAAAAGCGCTCGGTGCTTCGTACGACTCTGATCCTACCCGCAGGATTGAACAAATGCTTCGACTAGAAACCACGACAGCCGATGGTGGAAAGCCAGACTCAGCAGACAATGGAGCCGTAGCTGATTCGTCCTCAAAGCCCGCTGAAAAGCTCCACGGCTCGTTGCTCGCACAGACTATTCTCACGGCCCCTGGGCCATTGAGCGAGCTAGTATTTTCGAGTCTTCTTGCATTATCACCTGAGGTTCTCCTAAGTATGTGCAAGGATCCAACCGCGTCGCGAGTCGTCCAACAGGCCCTCACATCGTCCGCATCCACCCCTCAGTTCCGCCGACAGTTCATTACTCGGTTTACGGGTCACTTGAACGAGCTTGCGCTTGACAGCAGTGGATCTCATGTGGTTGACGCGCTGTGGCCGGCCACCAAAGATATATACTTCGTGAAGGAGAGAATGGCGCAGGAGTTGGCGGCAAATGAACTGGCCCTTCGGGACTCCTTCGTCGGCCGTGCTGTTTGGCGAAACTGGGCCATGGATCTCTACAAGCGCCGACGGGGTGAGTGGGCAGCCAAAGCAAAGGGAAGGGATACCGGCAGCAACGATTCTGGAGAAAAGCCGAAGTCGCGCATCGAGATGGCGCGTGCCAGGTTCGCTGCCAAGCAGGACGGGCCTTCAACCGGTGCGAATGCGGTAGCTGCAAAGCAATAGATGTTGAGGTTTCATATTAGCGGCTTTGATTTTAAAAAGTATGTATGTTTACGACCGAATGCATAAGATAATTAGCATAGATAGTATCTTCAGATCACACAGATTCCCAGGCGCAAGTTTCGGCCCCGTAGTCTCTTGTTCCGAGTTTCCTCGGGTTGAAATAATCTCAACCCGCCAGCTTCCCCGAGGTGGTCCCTAAAGGTCTATAGTAACTTCCCTAGTGCGCTACCAGCCCGAAGCCGGGCAAATGGTATAGACGATGGGATACCTGTCAACGCCTCGGTTCATGATGTCACGGCTCCAGTTGGTGTCGCCATTCCCACCGGATCCGCAACTGGCGCGGGCCCGTTTCGACGACCCCCCACGTTGGTGAAGAGGGGCATTTTACATTTATTCTTTTGATTTATTCTTTTATAATCGCCTTGTTTGATCTCTACTGCCAATTGCTTGTCGTCGCGCGGTTTTCCGTCTCTTCCGTATCCTATATTCGTTCAAGCCATGGCTACGACTTCGCCTACAAGTCGCGCAGATGAAGTACAAAATGTGAGTCACAAAGTGGCTTTACTTTGCGGCCGCAGAAACAATTGACAGTTTTTATTACCCGGAACTTGACGTGGGATTGTTAAAAGCATTATACTGACAGAGTCTTTTTCAATAGCTCCTTAGCGCAGTCCAAGATCTTTTAATTCCCTTTATCCGTGCAGCCGACGACGACAACCTTGGTCCGAAAACGCAGAAAAACGGCGTCAACACGAGTAATGGAACAAATGGACATCACAATATAGTTGGGTCATCGTTGGTAGATTACAAGAAGCCCGAAGAGCTACAGGATATCCTGCAACTGAGGCTCCCGCAGCAAGGTACCGGGCAAGACGGCCTGATCGATATCCTCCGCAACGTTCTCCGCTACTCGGTCAATACCTGGCACCAGGGATTCCTCGACAAGCTGTATGCCTCAACAAATGCTCCTGGTGTGGCCTCCGAGCTCATTCTCGCGGCGCTGAACACAAACGTCCACGTCTATCAGGTCTCACCTGCCCTGTCCGTCATTGAGAAGTATACTGGACAGCAGCTGGCCGCGCTCTTTGGGTTGACTGGACCGCGCGCTGGTGGAATCTCAGTACAAGGTGGCTCAGCATCGAATACAACGTCCATCGTCATCGCGCGCAATAATCTATATCCCAGCACGAAGAGCGACGGCAATGGCGATTATAAGTTTGTCCTCTTCACTAGTGCCCACGGACACTATAGCATCGAGAAGGCGGCGCAGATGTTAGGGCTGGGCAGCAATGCGGTTTGGTCAGTTCCAATCGACAAGGAAGGGCGAATGATCCCTTCTGAGTTGGAGAAATTGGTGCAGAAGGCATCGAGCGAGAACCGCACACCGTTTTATGTCAACGCAACCGCCGGTACAACAGTCATGGGCTCCTTTGATCCCTTCGAAGACATTGCAGCTATTTGCAAGAAATACAACTTGTGGCTGCATATTGACGGTTCCTGGGGAGGCTCGTTCGCCTTCTCCCAGCGTCAACGACACAAGCTCGCGGGTGCAGAGAAAGCAAACAGTATTGCCATCAACCCACACAAGATGCTTGGAGTACCAGTAACCTGTTCCTTCCTGCTTGCTGCCGACTTGCGGCAGTTCCACCGCGCCAATACCCTTCCTGCAGGGTATCTCTTCCACAACGGAGAGGAAGACAATGAGGACGCAAACGGCTTAGAAGGTCCATCCGAGCTAGATTCCGAGTCGCCAGAAATCTGGGACCTTGCAGACCTCACACTCCAATGCGGTCGACGCGCAGACTCCCTAAAGCTCTTCCTCAGCTGGTCATACTACGGAACATCCGGATACGAGCGCCAAATCGACACAGCCTGCGATATGGCTGCATACCTCGCGACCTTAGTCCAAGACAACCCGAACTTCATCCTCCTTAGCCAGAATCCCCCTCCATGTCTCCAGGTTTGCTTCTACTATGCCCCCGGTGGAAACCTATTACATCCGCGAGGAGCAAGCGTCGTATCCGATGAAAACAAGCGGGCAAAGGCCAACAGCAAGGTTACCGAGCAGATCACTCATGCAATTGTCGGGCGCGGATTTATGGTTGATTATGCGCCTCCTAGTGGGGATGAAAACGCGGTTGGGGATGGCAAATTCTTCCGGTGTGTTGTTAATGTCCAGACCGCGAAGGAGACGGTTGAAGGGCTAGTGAAGGCGATTGAAGATGTTGCCCCGGGAATTGTGGAGGGTCTCAAGGCGGAGGAAGCATCACTGCCGAAGAGGAGGCCTGGGGAGCGGGGGCATGGGCCTGTTGTTCATCATGTATAAGCAGTGGTTTGAGCCGTTGTAACATATAAATTCTGATATAGGTTAGATGGGTAAATTGGATAGAAGACCCAGGATATAAATGCCAATGATTAAAGGTTATACTATAATGAAGTTATATGATGCATTTCTACACCTCTTATTTATGCGCTGTAGATAAAATTAAAATTTATAACTTAACTGCACAGGTATCAAAAATCCGTAAAATCATCCTTCAATTCCCGATCTCCACGCGCTTCTCCAAAACACTCCTCGCCTCCGACTCTGTCAAATTCTCAATACTCAACTCTGAAAGCATCTCTCTCGCGCTCTCATTGTCTTTGAAAAGCCTCTTCTCGACTTCCCAGAGCCCCAGGTCTCTGCCAGCTACTGTCTCTGTAGAAGGTCCAGCTTGGTCGTCGGTTTTGGCCGTTTGTGACTCGAGATTGAGGAGGAGAAGACCCTCATCCAACTTCTTTACAATAGATTTTGAGCCTCCTGCTTGGACTGCGGAACCAAGAGCTGCGTCCACGACGCCGTGTAGATGGTCCATGTCGCTTGCCAGCTGGGCGGCGCCAGAGGTAGAGAATGTATTCCTCATAAGTATATTGGACCAGATATAAGTTTGAGTCGAGAGAAGAACCTGGCGAACGATTCGACGGAGCGGCGCGACCCCTAACGCACGAGAAAGAAACGAGATTGTTGTGGAAAGGGTGCGCATAGTTGGTGCTAGATCCGCAGTCGGAGCTAGGGGCCCAGTTGCAGGGTTGGCGGGACCAGAGATTGTTGCCCAAGTGGACACGCGAGAGTAGGGTTTTAGAGCCGACCGCACGTTGGACGATACGGTTGAGGTGATTATGGACTCTGAACGTAGTCTCAGACGACGGTATGCCGACGCGGTCTCATCGAATAGAGCTCCTTCCGGATTTTCGTCTGGAGAGCCAACTTCATGGCCATTGTTCACAGCTGGTGAAGTACGTGAAGCTACATCAGCTATTGACATAGACCCCGCGACATTTCTCCCGCCATCTCTATTCTGCTTCACGCGCTCTTGGAGTTCAGACCAGAGCTCCACAAAGAAGACTTCGTTGCTCCAATCATCCATCTTCTTTTCGAGATATTCCGCGCTTCCGAAGACTCTACACAGGCGCTCAAGCCCGGCAATTCCCTCGACACTTGCTTGTCCGTCTGCTCCCTGCACGGTGCGTCCAATTGTTGAGGTCATTGCAAGATAAGCTTCGAGTGCAGAATGTAGGCGTTCGTGGAATTGGTCGAATAATGTGATCTGGATATCTATCAGAAACCGTAGTTTCTGGCCGAAGGATAACAGGGGCTGATATCGTTCGGTGATTGTTTCCAAAAGGTCGTTCACGCGGATGGCAGCTTTAGTGGGCTTGGTTGCAGATATCTCAACCCCTTCGTAGTCAATGTGACCGCTGTCTGGTGTATCCACGATTTCTTTGTAACGGGCGAGTGCAAAGTCTTTCTCGACTTGCAGCCACTGATCGAACCATCCTTCCTTAGACAACACCTCCCATGTAAGTCCCCTCCAATCTTCTTGCGAGTAAGGGTCGGGCAAGTAGTTCCAGGTTTCACGAATATCGTTATCATAGTTCATCAATTCATGAACGAAATGGCTGAGTAGTTGAGGGTGTGTAGAAATGTGAGGAAGGTATGTCGATATTTTATGTCTCAGCATGGGTAAAATAGCTGTGATATAGGCATCGGAGGCATTGAGAAAGTTCCATGCCAGTTGATCCCCCACAACCAGCGACTTTTGGTCAAATATGGGCTGGAGGAATGAAGTGAAAAAACCGCCAAAGCTGTTCAGTAGATCCGTCGTATGCGCAAGGAAGTATTCGGGCTACATCGTAATTAGATTTGAAGCACAGGAAAATATCTTGAAACATACCTTGTCAAGTCTGTTTGTTGGCTTATCGCCACTAAAATGGTATTTGAACCGAAGTTCCAAAGGATGCACCATGGCCTCCAACGGAAACAAAACAGGCGGTTGGACACTCTTATGGCTAGCGGAGTCATGATTCTCGAGTTCCCTAAGATGATATCAATTAGTAGTGAGCGTAAAATAAAGTCTTCCGGGAGAAACGTACGGGATCTGCAGCTCGAGTAGCAGCTCAACATTGTCAGCCCACTGTTGTCTGAGGCTTTCGGGAAAGTTCAGGTCTTTGGACGGCCATTTCATCTGCTCTAGAGTTGCTCGAAAGCGCGTTGTAAACTCGGTTTTCATGTGTTCCCTGAGCTTAGACGTCAATCTCCCTACGTAGTCCACTAGATGCGGGCTTGCGCCTTCGGCAGCTGGCTGGGCCTCATTTAACGACTCCACCATATTTCGCAGGCGAGAATATGACGCGATAGCCGCACGGGGCTCAGAATTAACATTCTGCAGTGCTTCCTTACTGTATACCATCTCAGCGATCATGGCCAACGAAGGAGCGTCTTGGTCGCAACGTACCTTAATTCCTCCGCATCTTTCAGCAATGTAACATAGCCCCTCGATAATTCAAGCCTTCGCAATTTCTGAATGCTGGCTTCGAAGCGTTTCGCCGCCTCATCGCTGGCATCGGTCCCCGTCAAGGCCCTTAGTCGTCGGTCGATATCGGCTTGCTGGTCATTGAAGGCTTCAGCTCGTTTGCGGGTTGTCTCGACATGATCGTTAGAGGTTTGGGTGGCATTGGAGAGGGCTTCCCTGGCTTCAGCTAGCTATATAAAATTGCTTAGCAAGAAGTAAATATTATTGACAGAATTGTGCATCCGAGGGGCTGTTCATACCTGCTTCCGCTGGAGCTCATGCTGGGCCCGCAACGTAGAAAGTAGCGACTCAAGACTTTCGAAATCGGCAGATGTCTGTATCTTATCATTAAGATAGTCCTCTACTCTGGTACGCTCATGCGTTGACAAAGTAGACAGCGGATTTGCCATTTTGCGGCGTTGGTGGGGGGAAGAGAACGACGAGCTGTGAAGCGCAAGGTGTCGCAAATGATCATCGCGGCCAGCTCCGCCTCCGAGTCGGAGCTCGACCTTTGCCAGAACAACCAACAGCCCTTCGTCGCCAGCGCATTTGACAACATGACGTCGAGAATGGGCGGCAATCCAGCGAATTTCAAGTTTTTGCAACCTACATGACCGTACATAATCATAATGTCTAGCCCTGCAAAAAAGCGCAAGAGGGATGCCCAAGTCCAGCCCACTCGCAGCATAGCATCGTTCTTCCAGGGCCAAGCCGCAAAAAAAGCTGAGAAAACAGAGCCGACCTCTTCCTCGGAAGACACCAAGCAGAACCTATCCGACGAAGCTCTTGCTCGGAAGCTTCAAGCTGAATGGAATAACGAAGAAGCTGCCGCAACCCCCGAGGCCGTGCCTCCATCCGAACCGACCGCCAAATCCCCGCCTCCAGAGGATGGTCGAGAACAAAAGAAAGCGAAGGCTAAGGGTGTACTTTCACTGCAATCTTCTTCTGGTACAGAAGACACGATATCTCTCTCTGTCCCTTTCGACCAAAGTCCTTTGACATTTGATTCCTTAAAGTACGCTCGGGAGTTGAAAGCGCATTGGTCGACAGAGGGCGGCAATGCTTCGTATGCCCTCCTTACTAGAGCTTTCATTCTCGCAAACGCAACCACAAGCCGCATAAAAATTGTTGATACCTTGGTCAACTTCCTTCGTGTTCTCATTGAAGGAGACCCGTCCAGCGTTCTTCCAGCAGTATGGCTCGCAACAAACTCCATATCGCCGCCTTATCATGAACTCGAGCTCGGGCTTGGTGGGTCCTCCATATCGAAAGCTTTCAAGAAGATATACGGCCTAAACAGCCAGGGTCTCAAGTCCTTGTATGATAAGCTTGGGGATGCCGGTGATGTGGCCTTTGAGGCGAAAAAACGTCAGAGTTTCACCTTGGTCAAGCCCAAGCCATTGAGTATAAAAGGTGTCTACCAATCTCTTATGAAGATTGCCATGAGCAAAGGCAGCGGGAGCCAGGAAAATAAACAACGTACCGTTGAGAAGCTACTGCAAGACACCCGAGGTGCGGAAGAAAGTCGATACATTGTTAGGACTCTCGTTCAGAATCTACGCATTGGCGCCGTGAAGACGACAATGCTAATCGCACTTGCAAGGGCCTTCTTACTCTCTAAACCAGGAGGTGCAGACTTCCTTGTTTATTCCCAGGAAGATTTAGCTCGTCTCAAGAAAGACGAACTCACAGACACCTACGGAAACGCAGAAGAACTGGTCAAAGCTTCTTATGCTAGACACCCAAGTTACAACGACCTTGTTCCCTGTCTGCTTGAAATTGGGGTTAGTGAGGAGCTCCTCCTCCGGTGTGGACTCCAGCTCCATGTCCCGCTTATGCCGATGCTGGGCAGTATTACTCGAGACCTCTCGGAGATGCTGACCAAACTTCAAGGACGAGATTTTACCTGCGAGTTTAAATACGACGGCCAACGCGCCCAAGTGCATTGTGATGAAACGGGGAAAATCTCGATCTTTTCACGGCATTTGGAGCAGATGACAGAAAAATATCCTGACCTTGTCTCTCTCGTACCCCAAATACGCGGGGAGGGGGTTTCCAGCTTCATTCTAGAAGGCGAAGTGGTTGCTGTAGATGAAAATGGAGAGCTTCAGGCCTTCCAGGTCCTTACCAATCGAGCGAAGAAGAACGTTGAAATAGGCGCCATCAAGATCGATGTGTGCCTTTTTGCATTCGATTTGATGTATTTGAATGGCACACCTCTCCTGGACCGGCCATTGCGTGAGCGAAGGGGGCTGCTACGAAGCCTCTTCGTGGAGATTCCGAACCGATTTACCTGGGTCAAGAGCCTTGATGCCACGTCAGCAGACTCTGAAATGGTTTTGGAATTTTTCAAAGGAGCGACTGAGAATAAGTGCGAGGGGATAATGGTCAAGGTACTCGACAATGCAGCTGCCACGAACGGGCCAGTACTCTTATCGAACAACGCCGCTGCTTCTGACACGTCCGAGATGCCAAACACGCCCGCGGAAGCCAGCAGCATCAAACCGTCAAAGGGTGGTCGTCGAAAGGCGTTATTGTCCTCGTATGAGCCGGACAAACGGCTTGAGTCCTGGCTCAAGGTGAAGAAGGATTACAGCGCCTCATCGGAGACATTAGATCTAATTCCCGTGGCTGCGTGGCACGGTAATGGGCGAAAAGCCAAATGGTGGTCCCCTATTCTCCTCGCGGTCCGCAACCCTGAAACGGGAAGTCTGGAAGCGGTGACGAAGTGCATGTCCGGTTTTAGTGATAAATTCTACCAAGCGAACAAGGACAAATATGAAGAGGGGACCCCAAATGTTATATCCCGGCCAAGCTATGTTGAGTATAACAGTGAGCCGGACGTGTGGTTTGAACCACAGGAGGTATGGGAAATAGCATTCGCGGATATCACCCTCAGCCCTACGTACCCTGCTGCTATTGGGTTGGTGAGCGATGAACGGGGCCTTAGTCTCCGGTTTCCCCGTTTCTTAAAAGTCCGGGAGGACAAATCCATCGACGAGGCCTCTACGTCAGACTACCTTGCACTACTGTATAGGAAGCAGTCGGATCGTGCAAGGGCTGAGGAGACAGCGAATACAGATCAAATTATGGACGTCGACGACCAGAATCCATAACGGACCTTGGACTGGTCTTTAGATATAGACCTTTTCTGGGATATACTCTCTCACCTTAGCCATATAATCCCTGCAACAATAACGAACAATATTTTGGATTCTTAGCAGCATACGTATCATGGAAATACCTATCCTGTACATCAAACTTGAAGACTGGGCCGGAGATAATCAAGTTTCCCAACGGCTTTCATCTTTACCTCCCCAAATTTAGACAAAAAATGTTCCACGAATATGGCTGCCTGCGTGCCGGCATGGACCAGGCATGGTCCTTGGGATAACAATTGCCGTGGGCAATAATTATGATCGGCCATCAGACGTGTCTTGACACGAATTCAGAGTATTAATCCCCCCACCTACAATAAGCATGATCTTGTTGATCATCTTTGTCGGCTCGAGGGCCTTTTTTAATGAAGAAAGTGGCATGAAAATCAGTCAAAGTCGATCTTGTTTCAAACTTTTCTCTTCGGCCAGATGTCTCGCATAAAGAGCGTTTCTTATTCGGGGCAGAGTCAGCAAGCTACTGACAAGAGAAGCCGAGACATTCAAGCATCTGCAATCGACGTGTATTCCCAGTATGAAACTCGTATCACCCAAAAGAGAGGGGTTGAAAGAGGCTACAGATACAAAAGAGCGCCAAAGTTGAGTCCGGAGAACTGAGTCGTGCAGGGTTAATGTGGAACTCCCAAGACCCTTAGGGACTCACAAGCGGCTGAACCTAAACCAATATAATAATCCTCGGCGAAGAGAATCAGGCATGGATATCCCCAAAATCATCCCGAACTGCCTCAGATAAATGCACCAGTGGGGGAAGCCATCCTGCTGGAGCGGAGAAGGAAAACGGCTGTCTGAGCAGTTCCTGGCCACGAGGATGCGAACCGCGCGGCTCGAGGGAACCCACAAGACTTGTTCTGGTGTGATTCAGGCTGAGTGGTCAGACAGCTCGGGTTCCTGGGAAAATCCCCCTGCGTTGTCGGGGGCATTGCAGGATTGGGCTTGGAGCGAAACTGCCAAGAGCGCTATTGACGGCGACTGGTTTCGGATTGACAGCCCTAATCAACATGCTTCACGGACCAGACCACTTCCCGGTTCATCCACAGGGCTTGTTTTGTTCTATATCTAGTCGCTGGAAGTCCTCAGGAGCTTGCAGCCCCTCAGTCATTGTCTCTCTTTCTCAGGTACTGCTGGTTCAGTCACTTTTTTCTTTCCCTGACAACCCTTCCGCTGCCATTCCTTTAATCCGCCCAAGATGGCCGTCCTCCGCTCTTTGATTGCTGCAACCGCTCTTCTCGGAGCCGCAGCGAACGCTCAAGTTGTAGGCACACCATTCGGTTTTGGGTCAGGTGCCACTGGTGGTGGTGATGCATCTCCCGCCGCCCCGGCGGACACAGCAGAGCTCACAGAGTGGCTCTCCGATGACGAGCCCCGTGTCATTCTCATTGACAAGGAGTTCAACTTCCTTGGTGATGAGTGCACTGACTGCGAGTGCTGCATTCCCGACTCCAACACCTGCGGTGAGTCGGGCCAGAATGCCATTGACACCGGCATCGGCTGGTGTGATGGCTCCGAATCCACAACCTGCTCGTACGACAACGCCGGCCTGGACGGCCTTGAAGTAGGCCCTAACAAGTCCATTGTTGGTGTTGGCGATGCCGGTGTCATCCGTGGTAAGGGTCTGCGCATCCACAGCACCGAGAACGTCATCGTCCAGAACATTCATATCACCGAGCTCAACCCTCAGTACATCTGGGGAGGTGATGGTATCTCCCTCGACGGCTGCGACAAGATCTGGATCGACCACGTTAAGATCTCCCTGGTCGGCCGCCAGATGATTGTCACTGGATATGAATCAAGTACGTCCCTACTACCATGCTCTTTACGAAGTACAAGTTTTCATTAACATTGGGCGCAGGTGGAAGCGTCACCATCTCCAACAGCGAGCTCGACGGCACCACCGACTGGTCTGCCTCCTGCGACGGACACCATTACTGGACTGTGTAAGCATCTAAGAAGAAAAATCCCCTCGGTAAATCCTGCAGAATCTAATCGCGTCCCATCTAGCCTCGCCCTCGGCGAAAACGACAAGGTCACCTTCGCCAACAACTACATCCACACAACCTCCGGCCGTGCCCCCAAGGTCGGCGCCCCCAGCTTCTGGCACGTCGTCAACAACTACTGGTCCGACAACACCGGCCACGCCTTTGACGTCGAAGAATCCGGCACAAATGTCTTCATCGAGGGCAACGTCTTCGAAGACGTCAAATCCGCCTTCAACGACGAGGGCACCGGCGCCATCTTCGCCGTCGACTCCAGCTCCGAATCTACTTGCTCGTCTGCCATCGGCCGCACCTGCATCGCTAACCAGCTCACGAGCTCCGAGTCCGTCGCCGTCGCCGACGAGGCTGTCCTGTCTGCTTTCCCCGCCGACGAGGAGGGCGAGCTCAGCCTCCTTGCTGTCGACGAGGTCGCTTCCTATGTCCAGGCTAACGCCGGTGTCGGCAAGCTTTCTGCCAACGGCAATGTCACCCCTGGAAGCAGCAGCGCCGGTGTCAGCCCTAGCACCAGCGCTCCCATTCCTTCTAGCACGCCCGTTGCGTGGCCGACGCCTACTGCTCGTGCTGTCCGCTTTGCTCAGCCTGCGCGTGAGGGCATCTCTGTCAACTCTGAGAAGTCACACCGCGGTCAGAAGAAGCGGTTCCACAGGAACTATTAAGAGGTGCACTGGCTGCGCTGTCTCTCCAGGTTGGTTTGGTGGTGAGATGGTGGGGTGAACTGGGAGGAGCCTGTCTGGATCTCAAGACTCTTGTTACCAAGGTATATATATATATTCTTACTATGACTTTGTATTCTATCTCTTCCGTTCCTTTTGACATGTACGTACATTTTTTTGGACTTTGCTCCCATAGTAGACTGGCTTGTATTACACCAATCATTTACGGAAGTTTTCCTGGTTTCGCTTCTCACATCTTGCTACTAGAGGGGAAAAAGTTGAGGCTGGTGTAAGCCAGTATGGGGCGTTGCGGGAAGGTGTTAGAAGACTGGTAAAATACTTTTCAATTCGTGTCTGTATTACTCGAATATCCGGGCGTTAGTCCTAGCTAATGTACTGCACATGCGGGGTAGCGGTGAGCAGAAAATGGTAGAGTAGCAAGTAAATGCTATAAATATTCGCCAAGGAGACATATGAAAGGGGTATGTATATGGGTATGTATGGACAGAAAGAAGGGTAAGGGGTAGGGTGTACATTGTGAGTACCAGCGCTATAGCTTGGCTTGTACAGGGAGACTGAGTGAGATAAGAGAAATCGGGGAAATGTTAAGGTGGGAATTAGGTAGATACATTGGGCATAACAAGGTGTACATGTCGGTCATCAAAAGGTCGTAACAGGTGTTCCGTAACAGGGATAATAATGAGCAAAGAAATGAAATACTGGATGCATATTATTGCAAGCGGGAAGGGTGTTTTAAGGCCGTAGCTCGCCACCCAATTGCAAGACGGAGCCCGGCCCTTTCTCGCGGACCTTAGGACTACCCATCCCCGGCGGCAAAAGGTTGTCGAGGTTAGACCGTCTTCGAACATCTTTGCTTGCTAGAGGCGTTCGTCCGAGGGCGCCTGGAGTCCGGCCACCCCAGGCAGGCTGGGCAGGACTGGGAGTGACGTTGACAAAGTCCGCAAAATTGAATTGCTGATTGGGGGTGCCGAAATTGGGAAACACTCCCCCTCCCCCTGGAGTCGGAGTCAAGGACGGGAGGACAGCATGTTGGCTAGGGGGAGTCGAGGGGGGAAATTCTTGCGGCTGGTGCTTATTTGCAACTCTGGCCGGAGTTGGGGAGTTGGCTAGGTACAAGAGTAGGTCTGCTCCATCCTCATGGCGTAGGTTGCTGCGGTCGTTCCGTGATAGTGAGGCATGCTTCGGCGGAGGGGTGCGAGGCGGCGAGGAGCCCACAGCCGAGCTGACTTGGAAGCTGTGCACAGGGAGATCCGGATCATTATCATCATCCGATTGTGCATGATATCCGGGAGAAGAAAGCTCCGGAATGGGAGCAGTTTCCGTGATATGTGGCAGGTTTTGTCGGCTGCCATGACGGGGGAACCCAGGGGACGACTCCGGCAATTGGTATGAACTCTTCCACGACACCCGAGAAACCTTTGCGGGACGGTCCGCAACCGAGTCGGATCGGAGGCGTTTTCGACTCGCAGAGAGCATGGGCTGCATCACCCGCGAGTTAAATGTTGCGGCATGTCTGTTTCTGGACGACCGGGGAAGCTCCTTCGAATAGGACGAGGCTCGCAGCGGCGAAGTCAAAGGTGTCTCGCAGTGGCTGTTGGAGACGTCGGAAGAGGAATCGGACGGTTTGTCACTGCTTCCTAGGGATATATGCAGTCCCCCGTTCTGGCGAGAAGGGAGAGCGCCATTTTGGTACTTGACCTTGGCAAGGCCGAGACGGTCCTGGAGGTTGAGGGACACCTATCATAGGAGAACGAGCGGATGTTAGAGTCTTTCCCACACTATTTATTGCACGCCATATTCATTTTAGGCCTTGAAGCAGTTCAATTGAGGACTTGACAAACCTGAGCGATGTCAATTTTGCGGATCGTCTTCTCGGGATTTGACAGGACCATTTCTCGACGGCTTAGGTGATACTGAAACGAGGCTGGAGGGGACCATAAACCGATATGGGGAAAAAGAGGTTCCTGAGGTTGACCAAGAGGGTTCGAGGAAGAGAGGCTGAGGAGTGAGGTTTCAGGAAAGGGATGTCGGAACACAGAGGAGTGGAGAGGAAGAAGTAGGGCGGCTGGCAGGAGGTCGAGGGACTTGAAACCCAATTGGAGCACGCGAGACACACTAAACAGGGTCCTTTCTGGGGAGCAGCTCGAGCATCAAAGGGTCACTCCCAGAAATAATTACTGCTGAGGGACTGGAAATTAGGTAGGCTCAGTCCTGAGGATAAGGTTCGTCTGAGATGAAATTTTTGTTGTTGTCCGGGGGAACAGTCATTATGCAGCTTGGAACAATCGGCGTGTGGAGCGAAAAAACGCGTGCCATCGCGACGCATTCCCCGGTTCGGGAACATTGAGGAACACGCTTCAGCGCCCGCAACAAGCACCCATTTGCCAGTTGCCAGCCAGCGAATATCAGATTCTTGGATATAGATCTGAGATCGCGATCTTGAGCCTCAGCGACCGTCCTGTTTCTTCAAAACCAGGTGCAAATGACAATTCAACTAATATAACTTCAGAACCCACTCTGGAATCCGGTATGGAGTCGCCAGCAACTAGCCAACACCGTTTAGTCGCCCAGCCAAATTCTCCGATCAATGCATTCTCTTATCTCCTCACTCCGATCCATCCATTTCTGGTTATTCCATCCCTTTTGGTGGCAAAAGGGTGTACGACACGACATTCTAGTGGAAGGTTTGATCATGAATCCGAGCGCTGCTGCTGCATCCCTTCTTTGTTACGGCGGGACTTGCGCTCTCTGCGCCTGTGCTACCACTACTCGTCCACTACTTCCTGACTACCTACCCAACCAGTACTTCCATCTCTCGGGATGGTCTAAATTATTGTATTCGCGAGTCGCCAGAACCCAAATTGATGCATCAACTGAGGGGGTAGGCGAAATAAACAGGACCATGCGATTAAAGACTCAGGCCCACTCGACGACAGGAACGGAACACGAAGCAGGAACAGAAACCAAATGGGAGGAGAATGACGTGGTCAGCGCCAGGCTTATGATGCAATCGGAGTACGCTAGAATCATGTATCAACAACACCAGCACCAAAAAGAAGAAGAAGAAGAAGAATGAGAAAAAGGAAGAATGAGTACGTATACGTACTCGTACGCCGTTGTTCAATCGGCATGAGGCCGATATCAGCCCGACAACGGGAGCACTGCATGAATTCTTGTCCTGGCCGGCCAGCGATCGGTCGGCGGCGACAAATATAGCAGGCGATCGCTGGGATGTGAAACTAGACAAGTGCTATCCAGTCCACAGACCCACCATTGAGCAGAGCTCTGGCCATGATACCAGCATTATTCGTCGTAGTCGATGGCTGTGAACTTGCTGACCAGAATAATTTCTGAAATCCTGATTATCCTGCTGTTCTCCTTTTGCGACTCTCCATCCTCCACCAGACACCTCCCGATTTGCGCTGTATACAGTTCAAGCGACAGACAAGGTACGTGCTTTCTCAAGTCTCGCGTTGATCATCCTGCAACATACCTTGAAAAAGCTCAAACACTCTTTGACTTTGCTCTGGGTGCGAATGAAATCCTGCATGCTCTGCTCTCCCCACTCCGATCGCTGGCCAGTTGCTTCTTTGCCTTGGCCAAGTACAGCTGTCCAGCCTCTTCCTTGTTTTTCACCTTTTTTTTTTTTTTATTGCATTTATTGCATGCCTTTTCTTGTTTCTTATCGGTCGCTAATAATAATAATCAGCTCCAGCCGGCCAGCATTAATTTCCCTCGTTCCTGAAGTTCCAGTGGGTGTGGGGGGGTCTTCAACATCCACCGCAAACGGTCACCAGTCCTCCCTCTTCCCTCCGCCTGCCCTCCAGATCTACAGAGCTCCCCAATAAGAAATAGGAGATCTGATACTCCGCACAGCTCGTTCAATTCTTGTCGCTCGTTTCTGGCAGCTGAATTGACTCCCTACACAACGACGCTCGCTTTACTACTGTGGTTTTACGTGAGTTGAGGGAGACTGGGAGAATCTCAGGCCAAGGGTCGCTCCTTCCCTTTCCGTCGAACCCTACAAGCTTATCGCAACCGCTGCTCCCAACACCTCTTCCAACCACCTGCTGCCATTCTTCACGCCCAGCAATAGGCAGCCAGCGAACTGTCCCGTCATCCGCAATTATGCCTCTGTTCAAGAATCTGCGCAGTCGTTCCAGATCCAGCTTCCGAAGTACATCGCGGTCAACAGACAAGTCCAATGGAATTCAGTCCAACGGCGACGTGACCTCTGGAAAGTCCTCCTCAACTATTGACTCGGCATCTTACAGCTCAGTCACTCCACCATCTTCTATCAAACCCACCGCCTCTGCCCAGAATCTGCCATTAAATGGCTCCAATGGCACCTCCAACGGGACGAACCCTCCCATTGCTGTGCCCCAGCAGCGCCCACCTCCTATGACGACCCCATCCCAACGCAATAGCTACTTTGTATGTGCTCCTCTCCATATCCCATACCTAATCTTATTGTTATTCCATAGGGTGGTAACTCAGCGTCGATCAACGGTGCCGCCCGGTCTCCGGCCCCATCATCCCCCTATGCTCCTAGAATCATTTCTATTACGGAAAATGCCTGGGTAAGTTCTTGCAGCTTGTAATCTGTACAATTTCCTCCCGGCTAATTAAGCGACAGGTTCACCAAAAGGTCCTTCTGATATATGGCCAAGTTGGAGACCCAAGACAACATCCGCTGGACGGAAGTATAACCGTTAATCATCACCAAGATAACTTTCCCGCAGTTTCCTGGCCTGTCAATTCGTCTCATTTCAAGGCCCTTGTGCATCTCGCTCCTGGTCCGAATCGCCTACGCCTCGACTTTATCTCTACCAAGTCGTCGTCTGGCAACCTACACCATGCCACTCATACCTCTTGGATTAATATAAATTATCTCCCGTTGTCTAATTCTCCGCCTCTGCATCTGGTTATGCTTCTGGGAAAGGATTCCGACGGCACATACGACACGGCGCCTGAGAAGACGAACCGTGGGGGCGACAACTTGGAAACCGCGATTCGAAAATACCGAATGGCTGCGTACCTTTGGCAAGCATTTACTGGAGAACAGATGTTCCGTAATAACTTAGGGCGACGATGCTTTCGTTTCGAGGAAGAGTGGCAGACCGGCAGTCTCAGTCAACGTGATGCGGCAAATGGTCAAATGCGGAACGAGGCAAAGATTCATATCGTTCGTACCGAAAAGACGGTCGCGGAGCTTCGAGACCTACAACTTGCCCAACAGTATGGCCCAGCCACTAGGAAAGATGAACTATTCCGTATCGCACAAGAGGCTGTGAGTAACCATTTCGGCCTAAAGCCGGGTCAAAAGCAGTATGTCTCTGTCTTGCTCCTCGATTCTCATTGGGATACCGAATCGCAAACTATAACCGGTCATGCGGCTTTGGGGTCCAGCGGCGGAGACTTGAAGATGGCAATATTTGGGTCCCACTGCCTTCAGAGTTACCCGTCGAGTCTAGAAGAGGTAATAGATGCCTTCTCCGACTGTACGCGGACGAATACAAACTATGTCGCAAATGATTGTGGCGAGGCTGGCTCTAGTTGGGAGTCCGCTAACATAGGTATCGGCGCTCACCTACACGAAGTCGGCCATCTATTTGGTTGTCCGCATCAGGAGTCGGGAATTATGCTCAGAGACTACGTTCGCCTCAACCGCTCTTTCGTGACCCGGGAACCCTTCTCCACACGGACAAAGACACAAGGTCTGCATCCGTGTCTGCCCCAGGATGAATGCTCTTGGCATCGATTGGATGCTTTGCGTTTCCGGTTTCACCCTTGCTTCCGGCTTCCTAATGATGCCCCTATGAGCCTAGACGACAGCGTTCAGGTCTGGCCAGTTGAGAATGGCAAGATCCTGCTGACCGCTACCACCGGGGTTGCGTTCATTGAACTGTACTCGGAAGGGGATGAGGTGTGCCGCAGTTTCATTGAGTACATCAACACCGAGTCGACCAGTAACGGGCTCCCAAAACAAGTTTCCGTAACCGAAAGCGAGCTGCGGCAACGAGTATTCGGCACCGACAAAGAGAAGAAGAAAAAAATTAAGATGACGATATTTTCCGGTACGACCGGATCGTTCACCATCGATTCAATCAGTAGTTTGAAGTCCAAGAACTCCCAAGTGAAGCTGCCGAAGGGCGTCGGCTACCGAGGCTGCAATCTTGGAATATCACAGCTACCCGAAAGTCAACCGGAACAGCTCCTCCTGGACTGTGCTTTCCAGTATACCAAGCTGTTGACATCTGTCAGAATTTACCATGATGGAAAAGTGCATGGACTTGAATTCATGTATGAAGATGCAACAAGTCAGTTGTTCGGGAAACAGGAAGGGAAATCTGACGATTTTGTGCTGGGTAAGTTTTGAACAGATCACCAACCTGATATTTCTGCGAATAGAGTCTAATCGTACGGGTACAGACACACGTCGTGGAGAAATACTTTTAGGTTTCTATGTCCGAGCCGGACACTGGATCGATGCTATCGAGGTTTTGACTAGCTTAGGTCGAAAATCTGGCGTCTTCGGTAATGCAACCGGGGGCTCAGGGTATGTAGTTCTTGACTCTTGAGTGACAGTCTCACTGACCAGTTTACTTAGATATAACCTGATACCTCCCCTAGGATATAAAGTCGCGGGCCTTTCGGGAAGCTGCGGAGATTGGATCGACGGCTTCTCCCTCATAATCATGCACTGATTATATCTCACAACGCCGAGCCCCTTAATATACTCTCATCCGCATCTACCACACAATTCGGCCGTTCGAGTATTTCCATTTTGGAATATGCCACGTCTCCGAAAAAACTTGAGAACACCACCACGATAGGACCAACCCCGGCCACGAGGCTTCCGTAATTTCGACGTTTATTCAACCATATATAACAATCTGGATGGCACGCCAACATCTGTGTTGGCCTTTTTTCCTTTATTCTTTTGTCACCATCAATATATCTCTTTGCAAACTTACCTTTGCGTAAGTTTGTTTGCGGACTTTACCCGAGCCGTGCTTTACCGAGCGATTTACGGTACAGGTGGCATACGTTTGTGGTGCCCAACATGCTCATACATAGAATATGCATTTGATGTGCCAATGTGCCCATTGTTTGCATTGCCCACATTTGAACGGCGTTTTTTTTTTTTTTTTTTTTTTTTTTTTGTGGATTTTCTACCTGATTCGAACCGCCGGGCGTTAGCGGTTGCAAGGGTCATGTATACCATGGGATGAGCAGGACTTAGATAATATGGTTCACCGTGTGGATAGTCGATAATAGGCCGAGCGGTCATGGATAATACCACCTATATTATATCTGCCCACGCGGACAATCTCCGTTACACAACCAAGTTTTGTAATCTAAACACCGGGGTTAATAACACGCGCCGCCTCAGTATCGAACAATATTGTCCATACGTAGTAAAATCTCATGCTTTGCGAAGAAAGCTCCCTACACAGTCCACGCGAGAAAATCTGGCAATGGTTTTCCATCTACTTACTACGCTCATCAACATAGGCTGGCCACAGAACACGACAATCAATGTAATTGATTAAATGTACAGTAACAGCCGTTGATAACAACCAGCAAGAAACTTGAGCATTAGAAGGAGCAGTATGTGTATCACATTTGCATCCATAGACATGAAATAGAAAACATTACTTTCGATGTGATTCCATCGAAGTTAAAAAGTGAGTCCATTCAACGCATTATCATATTCCGACTTTCCAGCCCTAGAATGAGTGGCCAGTGTAATTTGGTAACCACACTAGAACCCCAAGAGCCAAACGAAGGTCAGGGTCAACGCAAGAACGAGAGTGCCCATTCCTCCCTGGGTGTATCCAGCGTTGACAATTGGTGCAGTAGTAGAGCTCGGAGTCTCGGACGTCGCGGTGGGAGCTACACTTTCGCCGGCAGAGCTAGACAGGCTAGTCTGGAGAGTGGTTGTATGTCCTTCTGGGGGGCTGGTGGGAGGTTCAGTCGAAGTAGACTCAACAGACGGAGGAGCACTACCAGTTTCCAACGAGGCTGGAGGCTGGTCAAATGTGGGAGCAGGCGATGGTGCTGCGGTGCCCGTCACAAGAGTTGTTTCCGGTATCGAGATGATGGGCGAGCCTCCGGGTGCCTCAGAGGCCCCAGATCCACAAACAGTTTTAGTGACGGTGACAGTAGCTGGTTCTTGGAACATCAAGAATGGCGTTAGAAATATTTCAGTAAATGGTTTGTAACAACAGCGGGAACTCACCGGCACGAGCGAAATGACCCTGGCCATCCATGGCACGGGCCTTGTCGACGACTTCGTAATAGTCTTTAATATGTATTAAAAGAAGAAACATATGGAGTGAACAATAGACTTTATAGACATACCCAAGTGTCCTTCCGAGTCATCGCCACCCAGGATAGCGTCGAAGTTGGCAAATTTTGCTACATGGCACTTGGGTCAGTACGTTGATGAGTATCATCGAGTTCACAGTACGATAAACCTACCATTTGCATAGTTAGTGATAGCCAGCAAGAATGCAAGAAGCAAGACAGAAAGCTTGTACGCCATCTTGGAAGAGTTCCAGACAGAAGTAGTTCGTGAAGCGAATGTGGGAAGCCAACAAAGATCTTAGATGAGAAAGCGGATAACGGGCAGCGAAATCGAACGGCGTAATGAGAAAGGCGGAGTAAAACGTATTCAGCGTTGGATGGGAAACCGAAAAGAAGAGAGTGAAGCAGATATGGGGGGAAAGAGGGTGGGAGAGGGAATTGCGGTGTTACTCCCTCGACTTCCATTCCAGGAAGGTACGACAAAACAACTTCACAAGGAAGGCACGATCCCGCCCTGGCCCTCTCATCAGCGATTTCTATTCTCCAGGAGTCCCTTCTCCCCAGGCCTACTTATTATTTTCAACTAATATTGGTTATGATGATACTCATATGAACAAGTTAAGCAAAGCACAACACAGGGCAATCCTTTCCTCTCTCCCCTCCCTCTAGAACAAGCTAAGAAGCGGTAGAAAGGATGCAGACGCAAGCAATGTTAATCTGAATAAATGAGTCCCACCTCGTCAACAAACCTGGAGCCTATCATTATAACTACTTGCAGCTTACCAAAGGCAGGGGGGTGCATTCTGCACCCACTAGGTTATACAGGTTGAGGGGCAGAACGCCATGCTACCTTAAATAAGCTTGGCTATCAATTCATAGATGGAGCAGGGCCCCTCATGTCTGCAGGCTCCAATCGTCAAGAGCACTACGTCAACGCCCCTCCTGCTCTCACACCGCAGCCCTGTCGATCGAGCCCCGGACCGAGGCGCTCTCCATAGCATCGTGGGTTTGAAGGGAGATCAGCACAGCGCCTCAGCGAGTATTTGCATTCCAAGCCGTTAGACTCAAAGAAGCTTAGCTGAGGGGTCCGAATCGTGATTGTTCCCGAGCTACGGTGGCAAATGCCACGGTAAAGACGCTGGTGTTGTACGCAGTACTACAAAGACGTTGACTGTATGAGTCTACTTACTGGCCCATACTTACTTTGGACCATGGGTATTGTAGCACAAGGAGATGAACTGCCTCTAGATCAATTATTTCCTAACCCCTAGTGAATGTCCAGGGTCCAGCACGAGGAGGTTATCCTCCAACCTTACCTGAGTAGTTGTATACCAAACTCAATCGAAGTATAAGAAACAGTAAACAAACGTAAATTACGCGAACTTCCCAATTTGCAAAGCCAAAAATACCGTAACCAATTTCCGACAACCGCCCAAACCCCACTCCCACGCTGCCGCCTGACTCGCGCCAAACTCCGCACGACGATTGGGAAGGCCCAAAAACAATTTGTTTTTGGCAGCTTTTCCAAGTTCCTTGGAAGTTGGAACAAATGGTGCAATTATGACGCGGGCGGCGCGAATTTTCCTAATTTTTTTTTTTTTTTTTCTTTTTTTTCTGATACCTGTGTCCCTGCCAAGCTCAGAGCGTGAGAAGATGATGGCCATTGTCATCGGCCTCGCTCGCACGCTGTCTGGTGTTCGTGCCCAGACTGCTTCGATCGCTCTTCGGCGCGAAATCTTCCGCTTGCCTTAGACTTTGAATTCGAGGATCTAGAATCTAGATCGGCACAGACTGGGGCCAACCGAAAAAGGAGGGGAAAGATTCTTCACTACGTATTCACTACGTATTCCTTATCTACTCTCCGGGATGGGTTGTCGACGGGGGTGTAAAATATTATTTTCCTGGTTCTGACACCGCGTGGTTCAGATTTTTATCAGGGTTAAAGGTAACTATGGTCCGTCCCATGTGCCTGGCGTGTTCCTCGGGTCTTGGGTACTTTTCCAACAAATTCAATCATTCATTTAAATTTATTCATGGTGAGCTTCATATTCTGATAAGGTCAACGTATTCTAAACCTATACATCAAGAGCCCTTCCCCCGAGTCTGCTTCCTCCCAGGCTCAAATCGTATTTGTTTTGCACCTGGTTTGGCAGACTTGCATGATTTCCTTCCCTCACCGACATGCCCATTCTGGGTCCTCTGCCGGTGTTTTGTTTCCGTGCATTTGACGAGCTCTCCCATAAGTTTGTTTTTCTCATGCGAAAGAAAAATAGCCATCACAATGGAACACAAAATCAAAAGTCAACAGTAGCCGGGAAATCACATCGTAAAACAAGACAGAAAAACGTAGAAATATTTTGGATCGTGAGGGTATCATTTCGTGTGTGTGGATCGTCCCTCAACCAAAAGCCACCGGATTGCAGCCGGGCGAAAAAAAGAAAAAAGAAAAAGAAAAAGAAAAAGAAAAAGAAAAAGAAAAAGAAAAAGAAAAAGAAAAAGAAAAAGAAAAAGAAAAAGAAAGAGCAGGTCCCCATCGAATGGTGATGTCGGCCGCCGTATCCAGGGGCTTGCAGAAGAAAGTCGCCAGAAAGAGATGGCGACGGTATCATCGATTAGTATAAGACAAAAAATATCACCAAAAGCACAATGCCATCCATATAAAAAAGAAAGAGCAGGGGTATCATTGCTCGGGAACTCGTTTATTATCCCCGTATTCAACGCCCCCTAAATGACCTCATTAAAAAGAGATGTAGGAAAAAAGACAGGTCCCGAACTCCGCAAAGAGAAGAGCAAGTAAAGTTCTCAACAAAAAAAAAGGCCGTTTAACATCAAATCCGCGTCTCTGGACGCGCACCAGGCGCACGCAAAAGAGGCTTTAAAAAAGGTATCTTTCGCTCCAAATGTGAATCAGAAGTGTGACTTAAGACGAAATACGCAACTGCTTGCGTCGGTCGGAAGACCTTTAGTATCTCAGCTTGACTTCGACTAGGGAGGGCGTATCCGCAGCATCGAATGTCGATGCCTCCGAAATCTCAGCCACCATGTCTTGCCCATCGGGAAGTTCGCGGACCACATCATCGTCGACCATGATTCTGAGTCCGTTCTCTTTGACGAGGAGCACGCGCATAATACGCTGGGGGTCTATCCGTTGTTTCACAGAGATCTTCTCCATCAGGTCACGGACTGTGCGCTCGGTAAGATAGACGGCTCGGTAATAATCGTCCTGGTGCTGATCATTCTTCGGAAATCGAACATAGAAGCAAGCAACTAGAAGTCTAGATTAGTTCAAAGAAACTAGGAGATCCTCATATTGCAATACTTACTCGGCCTAGGTTGCCGTTCTGCTGGCGGTCTATAAGTGGGATCAATGTCCACAGCTTCAATATGACCCATGGGCGTGCCTCCATTTCCAGAAGGAAGCCTCTGGACTTTGACAGGGTGCTTTAAAAACCCCTTGTTATCGGGAGTTTCAGACGACTGCCGCGAGAACTGGGATTCACTGAATAAACTCGCCTGCATGGTGTTGGGAGGGTTCAATGGCGAGTTGATTGACATATGGCTAGTGGTGGGTGAAACCTCTTGCAAGGCGTTTTTGTCAAGGCTGAACTGGCGGCCACCAGGGAATTCCTTCTTAGCGAATTCGCGGTTTTCCGGGAGCTGTACGGGATACAAGTCCGGGTCATCCTGCTCGTCACCTCGAAGGCCGAGGATACTAACAGGCCTGGTCGAGGAGAACATATCCTGCAGGAGTGCAAGCTTTTCGTGCAAGTCATCGGCAACGCTCGTCTTACTATTGCCATCTTGCGAGCTCATAGATAGCGTGCGCTTGTGCTTGAACATCTTCGAGGGACGTTGGTCTGAACCCTTGAAAGCAACCCCGTTGCTGCCACGCTTTCGCTTACCGAAGTTTCCTGCTCCCATCTCATTTTGTTGAATCTGCTGGCGTAGCTTCTCGATGGTCTTCTTGACGTGTGCAATATCGTTGGACAGTTTCCGTTCGGCACCATGGTCACGGAAAAGCTTCACTTTGCAATAGCACACTTCCGACTCCCTAGTAGAATCTCGGGTAGAGTCCCCATCGACCAATTCCGTCTTCGCACATAATCTAACAGGGATACCCTTGACGCCCTTGGAATGACTGAAATCGGTCGACAAAAAGTTAAATCGAACAGATATGGCACAGTCCGATGCCTTGGAGGCTTGGTTGGCGGTCCATGTAACGCAGAACCCGTCGAACGATGCATTCTCAAGTTGGATCTGCTTGTTCTTTTGGTCGTCGAGATTTCCTTGAGCGGGGTCCACGAACTCAACGGCCTGCAGCTTTCCTCCCCTGTGGTGAGCTTCACTTGTCCCACGTCCTTCCTTCCAGAGTTGCCAGCAAGCCGAAGGCTTCGCTCTCTGTTCGTCATCTTGGAAAGACACGCGGACATAGGTTCTGTATCTGGCTGGCTTGTTGGGGTTTGATTGCGGCGGTGCGGTATCGACAACGGACAGGGTGTAAGCTTGACCTTTGTTGAGGTACGTGACGGGAATCTCGTTTTGGTGGTTAATCATCGCTGTTGGTGCTCGGAGTGTAACATTGTACCGGAAACTATCAGATTCACACGACGTTAGCTGACGGAATGATATGGGCGAAATATCTAAGCCGCACTTTTCATCCGGGGGTTGCAACTCCTGCTGTTCGGGGCCCCGCATAGCTGGGGCCATATGTGAATGTGAGAACCCCTGTATATCCACATCATTTATAGACACTTCGTCCAGGGCTTCATCTACCGCCTCAAAACCCATATCGCCCATATCGCCCATATCACCGTGGACAAATTCATTAGGTGCGAACGACACCTGCGGTGCAAAATGTTGCGGGTTTTGATAATGGGAGGAGATGAACTGCTGGCTGAACGGATCAAGAGGCATTCCTGCACTGTTGGTCGGAATATGGCCCTGCTGGGAGAGCGAAAGGGGAGTAATCATGCTCAACCCCATCCCAGGCGTATGGAGGTCACCGGCCGAGCTGTGATGTCCAGCACTGAGGTTTCCGGAATTTGGAGTATAATACCCATGGTGTTGGTTGAGAGGATCAATGAAGTGGACGGCGTTTGAGTCGACCATAGGAGCCATGAACTGTGCATCTTGTGGGTGATGGCCCTGAAACGAGGAATCCATTTTCATGTCCGTTTCCATGGAGAATCTAGTATTAAATCCAGTCAGTTTCAAAGAATAATTTCGTAGATCCAGACATGGCGGATCAAAGGTCCTTCCACGGCCAGAGAAACAAGTCAAAACTACAGAATGGCTTCAGTAAGACGTACTTCGAGGAGGGTACATGGTGGCCCATTTGAGGATTGCCACCGAGCGCCGCGGCAGCGTTCATACTGGACAACGGAGAGACGACATCAGAGAAATTTTTCTGAAATCGCTGGATCAACTCCTCGTTGGGCTTCTGCGAGTTGCGCCTACATAAAAGACATCTAAATCAGCCTGGGGACGGCCATCGAATTCAGTGAATAGCACAGGAACATACCTGTTACGGAACATGATGGCCTGGCTGTGGCGTGTTTACGCGCCTATCAGTGAGCAGAAAAGCGCCAATATCGGTTTCAAGGCGGTGCGAGGAGATCGCACAGGCGGAGATAGTACCCAAAATACAAGAGGTGACCGACCGGGCGCCAGAGAAAAAAACAGGAGTTTGGGGGATTTCCCGTTCTATCCCCGCGCCCTTGCTGTCGTCTCGAGACGCCGGAGCGGCGGGAATTGGTATGGTTAGATGGCAGTGGGAGAGACACCGGTAGTCATGGTATGATTGCAATGGCAACAGGAAGAGAAAGATGGTAAGTCGCGATAAGATCAATTATAAAAGCGCCAAAGGCGGGGAAAGCAGGAGAAAGCGAAATATTGTAGTCGGGTAAGGCGCAGTTTTGGGACAAGGGTTGGTGAGTGAAGGTCAGTGATAGCGTGGAAGAGAGAGAGACCGTGTGCGCTGGGGGGAGAGAGTTGAAAATAGGCGACCCCAGGAGGCGAGCAGAAGTGGAGGTACAAATGAGAATTATTGTCGTCAGAGGGTGGAGGGAGAAAGGAGGTGAATGCTCGGTCGAGGTCGTTCAGAGTTGAGAACTCGGGACGTCGAGGTGCAGGACCGATGAATAATAATATTCAGGTGAGATGGCCGGCCGTTTGAGGGTCGAAGTTCGAAAGGGGCAGCTCCTCTCGATAGTCGCGAGCGTGGCTGAAATACCGACCGGGGCGAATTGTTCGAATGTTTCTAGAATCAGAGCGTGTTCGATCGAGTTGAGGCAGGGCCGCTCCTTTTGTCCAGCAGCAGTCCAGTCTGTTCTTAAAATATGAACATTATTTTCTTTCGCTGGCTAGAACGGAACAGGCGCCATAGACGTCAGTCAATCGTTGGAAACTGAAGGCCAGCGGGGACTGCTCTGAGCGTCCGTGGGTGGAGCTGGCCCAGCATTACTATCAATACGCCCCAGGTACCGTATTGAATGGTAATTTAATCCAATAATACCGAAGTACACCACCCTACAATGATACGATGAGGAGCACGGCGACCAGGAACTCTTCTATTCTGCTCCGTAAAAAGGTGCAACTTCTCGAACTCATAAGTTAGCCAACAAAAATAGCGATAAACAGATAACTTGTAATCGTTAGTTCAGCGCTTTTCGATATAAGTTGAACGAAATGCGGGGTACGTTGCGTAATACTCTGAGTTAGCTATTCCTACAAAATAATAAGCTCTACTAACTGCATCGATCATCAAAACATCTTAGTCAATGAAGTGCCTCGTGCATCCCAGGGCTTCTACTTAGACCGGGGGGCGGGCGCAGCTGTCACAATTATGTCCGACTGTTGTCATGACTCTCCTGCAAAGGTGGACGACGCTGGCTCCAAATTTGTTGGGCGTTTCTTAGGCTCAGCCATATTTCTGTGCTTTAACCCAATTGTGTTGTACAGTCCGTTAGGGCGTTCAAGTGGGCTGATTTATAGTGTGGTTTCAGATATGACTTCAGATGGGGGGCAAATCGGGGATAAACAGCGTCAAAACGTTTTGAGGGCTGGCGAGTGAGGGATGTTTTATTTTATTGATTTGGAATTCCTCTAGTAAGTAGCAGTAGCTGGTTTAACTATTAGAAAGGCGTTTGAGCAGGCGACACGGACGGTGAACAGCTTATCTAGGTACAGTATACAGGTCAAGTCAGCTTAGGGTTTGTCTACACGGAAATATTAACCAATTCGATAATGTATCTGGTATATGGATAGATGCAGACACAAACGTCACACAGCAGCCCTACGTAGAATGTGCCATCTGCTGGCATGGGAGTGTGAGAAACGGGTGCATGCCTGTAAGCAATAGGCATACTATCCCTATCCCAGTACTGATATGTACTCATCAGACCCAAAGTGTAGCAATCAATGCTCCGCAAAATTCTCCCCTATCAAATTGCCGCCGGCTGGCTATCCACCAATGGTATTCCCGAACGTTGCGCCGGCCGAGTTTGAAAATACCGGTACTTGACGATCTGTATTGCTGATTACAACGGCCTCACGAACTTGAAGTTCTCGGTACACTCTTCCATAATACTGCAGCACTAGTACAGAACCGACTAACGAGTATAGGCAGGTCCTTGAAGCATGGAACATGTCAAGTTGTCGAAACTCTGCTCGGTATATATCTCCGCAGAGCAAAAGAGACGGCATTCAACCGACGACCTCTGGCACAAAGTTATGACCCCCTGTTCCCCGGTGGTATGCTGGGCGACCCAACTGATAAGGCAACTGATAAATTAACCACAGCCAGTCAGCGGCGCGTCTCTCCCGAGGCACAGTCCTCCTCCGTCTTCGTCCACCCCTCGGCAAGGCTAAGGCAAGGACAGTCGGAATCTTAAATCCTCGAAAGGCAATTCGCTGGCGATTGGACCGAACCGCCCACTGCAAAAATGAACAAATGAAAGAAAGTGTGGATGGCGCACAGTCCATGCTCCACACCCAACCCACAGTTCACCCTCAGACGTCACTGGCGAGAGGGTAAGAAAGGTCACAGCCCAGCATCATTGCGTCATTGTGACATTTGTCGCTCATTCAGCCGCCGACGAAACTCGCAATCGCACAGAGAAGAATTTGAGGATTGCGTACTTGGGTCGGGCTTTGCGACAATCCAAATCCAACTGTCTGTGGGTAGGAACGTCCATTGATCCGCGATCGAGAAAGCGTTGGGGTAAACCCATTGCGCTCTGTTGATCGGGCCCAGACCACTGTCATTCAATAATGAGCCAAAGGGAAAAAAAAGAAAAGAAAAGAAAAAAAAAAAAAAAAAAAAAAAAAAAAAAAAAAAAAAAAAAAAAAAAAAAAAAAAAAAAAAAAAAAAAAAAGCCAATCCCTCATTCCCCTTGAAGCCCATGTTGTTATACAAACGGCCTGAAAAGCACTCAATGGCTGTTCATTGCTATCCCTTGTCAGCGCATAGTCGATGTTTACTGCTGCTTCATCTGTTCCTGGTGTTTGAGCTCCAGCTACAAAGGTACGATTGGAGAGTAACTTCAGGCCCGGTGGAACTGACCCGGGAACCTGTCCAGTGGAAGCGATTGAGTGTAGGGCAAAAAGACCGATTCGATGCCCTGAGGCTCCATGATCTGTCACCACTCGTTTCTCCCCTCTGGGTCTTCTTCAATTCAGTCTGATTGCCTGGCCGTTCCCCGCCCCGCCCCAAGACCCAAGCTTTTCGTCGACCGTATCGAGGATTGATTTCCCCATTGACTACGGAGGAGAGTGGCAAACTCTATAAATGTATGGACAAAGTTCTCTGCTTTTCATTCTAATGCTGCGGGTGCCCAATGTTCAGCCATGTGGAAGAAGGTGCCAACCGCTATTATGCAAATACTCCACAGCAATAGACGGGATCTCACATCCTGCGCTCTCGGGGTCTCATTGTCATTATCAAATTGGCGATCTCTCGACTCATGGGTTGCCACCAAACACAACCTCCTTCCCCTTGGAGATACCACGAGTCAAATGACGCTCGACGATCCCATATCTGCCCTCGAATATACCAGCCACAAGACCGGGCCCCGCCCGCCAATGAGACGGTCGCATTATATCCGCACCGCCACCCAGACACAGCATTCTCGATGTCTCGTCTCGACGGGGCAGGATCATCGCAGTTGTGGATAATCGTCTCATCACCCTCAGGATTCATCATTCAATAAAGGGAGCAGTATACACTTTCATATGACACCCAAAGAAGCACCAGTAATGCCACTGGTCGGGCTCGCGGGTGCATGATGGTGTGGAACGCCAGATTTGCCACAGTACGTGGACACCTTCTTTGCAATGTGCACTAATAATGAACTATCATTCGATCGCAGACTCTCCGGCATATCCTCGATTCCCCAGTCTTTACCTTACGAGCCCCGACTTGTGTTCAATTCAATGCAGTCTGACTCATACGGATATTCACCCCTTTGTGCAACATGATGAAGCAAGTGGTTTTCGTTCTTTGTTATGTCGGCGTGGGGATGGAGACGGGAGAACCGCTGCAGGTATACCCTCCTTCACACCTGATATTAGCCCCGGGCTCGATCGCATCCAATAACAGCGAAAAACCCTCCTGTCTGCCCTCTGCACCCATCACCCAGAGCAGCAGCTCCTGCTGTCCATCGCCTCGGCTTTAAAAACTCAACTTTGAAAATCCGCGATCGTCGGAAAACTCTTCCTCCTCGCCCTCGTACGTAACAGGTTGCTTTGCGCCTGTCCCGACTCCCGTCTGTGGTTGATACAGCTTTGGTTGGCCTTTTTTTTTCCCTTCCACAGCTTGGCTTTGATTTTTCGTAGATTTATACAGGAGCTTTTTTGGGGTTTCATTTCGCACATCACCGATACCAAGTCAAAGCCAGACTCTGACTGGCGCGGAAATCCTCAGCGTCTCAGGAGTCACTAGTAGGAATACTGGCTTTGGTTCGAACCACACTTTGGCAAAGAGAGGCCGAGGAAGGCAGCAAATTTCCATTGGACCACAACACCTTTAATCGTCGTATCGGGTCGGAAATCTTTCAGGGTCCCCCAAGGCCGGGGGTGCAACCCGACTCCCGTCTTTGTCTCTTGCCGCAAACAGAACGGGCCAGAGCTGTGCTTTTTGAGCAAGAGATTGGCCGGCGTAATTTTTATTTTTATTTTTATTTCTATTTTATTTTTACTTTCACGTTCATAGCTCTCTAAGTTTGAAGGGAACCAGGACCTCGGGATAGACAGCTGGAGAAATATCTGCGAGTGCAACTCCAACCCCCATAATGGCCCATGGAATCCATAAACCATCAACAACCGGTGCACCCTAGTACCAACCTTACGATGTAGTACTTTGTAAATGTAATCCTCCCTCCTGCAGGTCGGATTCTTGAGGGGCTGGAGCAAAGCTCAACTCTGGGGCGGACTAGACTCTCCTTCCCCTCCCATGGACCCAGCTCCCTCCAGCCCTCCAACAACTCCAGATTAACCAACCACAGTCCGCAATCTGATTTCCTGTCCAAGCCACACGACGTAAGGGGGCGAGCTCTTATGTATCAATCCTGCAATCGAAGATGGCATTGGGCTTGTAGATCTGTGTCACCTCCGCAAGTCAATGATGGTTGACGATTACCTGCATTGCATTGCATTCTTGGGTAAGGCATTGGTGTGTGTGTGTGTGCTGTCAGTGTCACGCTATTAAGGTTGACTTTTTGGTGCTTCGCTCTGCCTGACGTGACGTGGCGTGGCGTGCTCGGGGGCGTCGCGTCTTTTGTTTTTCGGGGTTGGGTTGGGCTGGGTTGCTTTTCTTTTGACGGTTGGTATTATTCAGTATACTTGGGCTGTACGGCAATAGTTTGAAGTAGAACCTAGGGAAACGATTCTTTGTAGTCAACTTTATGGGTATCTTCATATAATACATATTCTCTCTGCACGGCACCGTGCTAAATCATCAAGTCCTGTCGCAGGCCCATAGCTAGTCCATATACAGAGTATGAGCACATCATAGTATGTAGGCACAAGCCTAGCCCCAAACGAACAAGTCCAACCCCTGAATTCAGGGTTTAGCTTTCTGGATCTCCAACAGCCTCCAGTTCCTTGGCCGAGGCACATAGCCGGCAACCCTCGCCAATTCTATCCTGCAAAAGACGGGCCGTTGTAACCTTTGGACCGACAGTCCGGGATGTTGTTGACGGTTCATCTAGGATTTGCGTGCGCGAGAATGGGAATGCGCGAGGAGTCTGGGCCCCCGACTGGGTTCCAGGCGTATCCATCGGGGACGAAGGTTGGGATTGATGAACATGGGACAGATGGAAAGCATGGCCGCAGGCGAAAGCAACGAGTATTTCTTTCTCTGAATGACATGATTAGATTAGACGCGAGCTTGCAAGAATATAAAAGCAGTTGGCTTACCATTTGCGTGGAATAAGCGATGACAGCCCGCGCACCTTCCGGCTTGCTGTGTAGATGGCTTTGGCAACGGTGTTGGCGTTTTCTCCGAATCAGTTTCACTCTTTGCCTCGCCAAGTTGCTGTTCAGGAGATACGCTGACGTCTTCTGACTTTGAAGGCTCTTCGATAATGTTGAATTTGATCCCCCGACGCTGGCCGCTACGGAGGGCATTCATCCCAACCGCTACCTCACTTTGCAGGACCTTGGAAGCTCCTTGACTGATACTTGCTTGAAGATCATGCTCCCGAAGCAGGCCAGTAAGTCCCTCTCGTAGACCTTCAATTTCAAGTCCACTAGGAATTCTTCGGACAAGCTTTATGGGGTCGATAGACGTCCCGGCTTCGACAAGCAGGCCGTGGATGAAACGGGGCTTATCCATAGAATAGTCTACAAGGTCTTCCCAGAGATCTGGGTCATCCTGGGATTTCGCAAACGCGATGGCTTGTGACACATCTTTCAAATCGGAGAGAATTAGGCTCATTGCTCTCTTTGTCTGCCCCATCTTCGACAGCAGGTAGATGAGCTCGGGGGTGAAGTGGTTCTGCTCGCAGATAGCCACGGCAGTATCGAATGAATATGCCGTGCTGGTTTGCAAAAATTCCATAAACAACGGGCGATCATACTGCGCAAAGAGATCTGCTGCGGTGTCGGCAAATTGTTCCACGAGGTTCTTGCCTTCGTCAGCTGCTAATTTAGTTGCTGCATCCTGCCTATGGCGCCCTCGACGGGGTTTCTCGGCCTCGCGCGAAAGCGACTCCCCTCGCCAAAGAGCCCGCAAATAGAAAAAGCTAAATAAGGGCCTGTCGGCTGCCTGCAGCTGCTTGATAACAGTGTCCGGGGGTACAATTCCCGTGTATGCTTCGTTAACTAGCAGTTTAATAGACTCGGCTGTAATGTCTGCGAGTTCTGAAATAGGTGCTGACTTCATCTGTTCCTTCGAGACTCGAATCATGATAAATGCGGGTATATCATCGGAGAGTGCGTCGAGGAGGTGATGATCCTTGACCAGCGCCATCGCCGTGTCGGCATCCTTTAGCCGGATATAGCAATGAAGCGCGTCGTTGTAGTGACCACCGGCCAGATATAACTTGGCCAAACACCTTATCAATATTCGCCCATCACCCGTCTCCGGTGTCATCTTCTCAGATTCGAGCTGTTCTTCGATGGCGCTTGTTATAATGTGCACATCAAACAGGTCAAATGGCCAAGAGTCGATAAGTCCACTGAATCTTTGTCGGTCTCGTGTGAGATAATGCTCAAGAATAGTCTCGTAGAGCTTCGGCGGTAGAGATGGGCGTAAATCAACGGGAATGATTGACGAGATTTCGTCTAACTTGTCTTTTTGGATAAAAGTCCATGCCCAGTGCTCCCAACTCGACGTGGCGGCTAAGGCCTTCAGACATACCGCAGCTGCCTCCTGCCACCTATCATTCCTAACAAGTTGCTCTATCCACAACTCGCCAATGCGGCGCTTTTCTTGCAATGCCGCATTAACACTGCCACGGTCGGTTGCTGTAATCGAGGATCTATCGTCCCCGAATAAATCACCGACACTAGACTGAGGTCTTTCTGGAATGATTGAGATATTGTCACCAGCCTCGTTCATGAGCCCTGCAGCTTCAGGGTGCTCATCAAGAAGCCTCCAAGCTTCGGCATATTTTTCATGTTCATTAAGCCACGTGAGGTGGTCTGCAAGGTCTCTCTTCAAAGCTACCACGCAGTCATATGGGCTGTGTACAAAGATCTTCGGTCCTGTACTTTCCGTGACCTCCTGCACTTCCGTAGATAGAGGCTCGTCGGGGCCCAGTCGTCGTGAGGCAAAAGTACTCGGTGCTCTGCTAGAGTTTCTATCCCCACTACTTGTTGAACTGCGGATGCTCGCGGCGGAACTAAACAGGCGTGCGGGATACATCGTAGCATCCCAAAGGCCGGTACTAATCGCACCCAATGCTCCTCGATGTGAAACAGGCTCGTTCATTTTCCAGGGCGGTAAAACACACATGTGGTAGTCCGAAGCTGTTAGGTTTTCGTATCGGCTGACAGACAAAGTATCTGCACTGAGTTCTTCTTTGCTTTCCATGTCAATTACACGAAGTTCAGGCTCTTGTCCGCGTGGACGACGACGGCCCACTCGACCACCGCCCTGGTCACTTTGTTCGTCTGAAGGGTCATCTTCTGCTTCTATATAACCAAGAACAGCCAGAACGGTGGGAGAATATAATGAAATTCCGGATATTATACAATCCGTCCGTAATCTGAAAAGCGCATTAGTGCCTGCCAATGATCAGTTCGTGCAACTGACTTACATGGTAGCAACTTCAACGGAGCCGATCTTCAGGT